TATCTATACAACTTTTAGTTTTCAATATCTACAAAATACTTCTTAATTGACCATTGAGTTTCAATTTAACTTTTTTTTTTAAATTTTATTCTGAAATTAAATTTTTTTTTACATAAAATCAAATTTTAGAACGAACAGGTAAATCCACTCATCAAATCTTTAAATACTTATAAACTAATGAATTATAATGACCAATATTTAGCGAGGTATCACTGTGCAATTCTACTCTGTTCATCTAAGCTTTAAATACTTCTAGGTATACTCGTTTAACATTTGATTTATACGTATTATAAAAACTCAGAAAATTATTATGCTTCGTCATATGATATTATGCATGATGTTATCATCCACAAAAGTAAAAAAACTTATTCAATTATATCAATAAAAATTTGTAAAAAGATTGATTTATTTTTTTTTTGTGTTATAATAACTCACAGTTATGTAAAAAAAAACAAATTTTCAACGAATTAAAACTTCAAATTATGAATATTATAGACCTTAAATGGATCACCTTGTATTATATCATAAGGTATAGAAATATCTTTAATTATTTTTCGACGAACACCCTATTTTTATTATGTTTCATTTTAAGCAGTTTTAAGTGTATCCAACACCGTAATTTAATATGTCCTTCAAACATATTATTATTAATTATAATTTAATACTGAAAAAAAATGTTACACTTGAAATCATTGACCTATATATATATGTGTGTATAGTATATTATACTGTTAGATCAAGAATAATTACATTTACTAGGCGTACATTACAATATTCGTAATATTATATATATATATATATATACGTAATAATAGTTTCATAGCCATCGGCAAACAATTGTATGAGTACCTACAGTACCAAGTACAAGTATAGTATACCTACATACATTTTGAACAATTAGAAATAAATAAATGACATAATTGTATGAGTACCGACCATTGCAGTAATTTATTTTCTACATTATTATCACTGGTGTAAATTAGCGATTAGGTACCATGGTTTATAATACAAGTATACAATACGACAATAAGATAATATTTGTCTCCACTAAAAATCTATATTGTAAGATTATCACAAATGTAACTACTATTGATTTAAAATTTTAAAAGTGTCGCATTTTAAACAAGTTTTATTTTAGAGTATCATACACAGTCAGAAATATCAAAAATTATTATGTTTTGATGACTATATAATATGGGAAACACTATATATAATATATATATTTTAAAAATTAAAAATGTGTTAACCACAAACGTAAAAAAAAAAAAATAGAAATTTAAACCTTATGATCAATTTTATTAAAATTGTTTCAAAATTAAATATTTACTTTTATAAAATATAATATGCTATTAATTATAATAGTTTAACATTGGTATTACATCATATCAAGCCATGATAATAGGAATATTAATATTATTATATAGTTTTAATATTTGATATTCTTACTGTTACAGATTACGTCAACAATAACTTGTAATAAACACACTCTTTAAAATAAAGGTAAGTAATATTTCATAATTTCAAAAGGATTATAGGTAGGAACGTGCTATTATATAATTATGATAAAGTTTAAAAACTAAAACACAAAATATTTTTATATGAAGATAATTTATAAAGGTAGATTTTATTTAAATTAAATTATTACGAGAAGCGTTCGTAATTTTAGATTCTTAGAGTATAGCAAAGAAAGAATTTTCAATGATGTAAACTTGTTGCAGAATAATTATCTTTTTTCCGCGAACACTGTTTAGGTGGAAAAAGTTCACAAAGTGTTTCATGTAGCTGCACCAGTAAAGATGGAATATCCAGTCTGAGTGGTACTTTGAAGAGATTGTATTTCAATTTTAGGGTAGATTCTTCAATATTTATAGTTTATAATTAGGAAAAAAATCATCCAGTGTACACCGTCGTATACTGTCTGGGCTAGTTCACTCGCAAACATATTTGATTAAAAGTGCTGAAGAATAATATGAATTAAAAATGTTTCGCTACATAATACGAGTATTATAATTATTACAATGCGTACATATGAAACACACTTCATAAATAATATTATATTAAGTATATTAATAGGTGTTTCAATATGCTGATTGAGTAATTTTTCGAATTCCTCACACCAATATCGTTAAGTTTGACACGCGGCAAAAACGAGTCAAAAAAAAAAAAAAAATGATGATAATAATATTAACGCGTAAACGTCGCTGCCGGCCACTGAGTTAGTGTGGCACATTCTCTGCGCAACGGCGTTATCAATCCGTCGCGGCGGCGTCCTTAAAGAACACTACGCCACGATTGAACCGTAAATCGCTACCGTCCGACTACCAGCGTCGAGGTCCGCCGCCCGCGATGGTGTACAACCACGGTATATAACCGCAATTCAGGTAGTGTGCAGTGGCCGCGCCTTCTCCGACCACCTGTTATGACACACAGCGGCATACACAAACTGTACCGACGGTGCCACTTAATTTTTTTCTTACGTCCGGTATGCGCAGAGCCATGCCAAGAACGCGGGACCGGATGAGCAAACGGCAAGGTTATTTTGTATTTACAAATACTACGGCATTAACCGCGGTGTAAAAGGCAAACCTGACGCACGGGATATCCTTATACCTTGACGAGCGGAGGGGCGGGTAGATGTTCTCGGTCATGTTATGTACCGCTTAAACCATAGTATTGGATTCCAATGTCAGAATATCTGTGGTAATGGCGCAAGCCGCAGGGGTGCATTGGTGGTAAATAATGAGTAAACGCTATAATTTTGCAGCACACGAAAATTAGTTCTACGCCAACGCGTCATTGACAAAAAAAAAAAAATTATACGTGGTTAATTTTTATCCACCGTAAATATTTTCTACTGGCGAAAACCTATCTATCTATACACATCACCTATCCATGTTTATGATTATATTATTGTATAGCTCTCGAGTGGTGTGGTGGCACGAGTAACCGTAGATATTAAAAACAAATACAACAGTTACTTAAAACATCATCCACTTATACTAGTAATTAAATTCAAAATTATTTTCTCATATTATAATATACACATTTCTGTATAAATATTTTTGTATGACTTTATGAGTGTGTGCCGTATACTCTTCAATATACCGTTGGGTGTACGATGAACGTTGACAAGTGGACGGAACAATATTGACTGTGGACCTTTATGGTAATATTGAAAAATTGTGTAACACGTATAATAAGTGTGAAATAAAATTATGTACCTATCACTGAAATCTGGTGACATATGCAATATACGTCGTCGTTCGAATTTTGTGGCAATAATTAAAACCCAGTATTATTAAAAAATCGTGTCATTCGTCAGCAAAGCGATTACGGCAAACCAATTATATTATTATCATGTGAATGGTGTGTATCAAAACTTGATATGGGCACTGCCAAACAAAACCATCGAGTGCGGTATGATATACCTACGTGTAACATATAATATTATTTGTACAATCGAATAACTAACTCTTAAGTGTACCAACACATTATATTAGATGAACCATTATAAATCAATCATTAAATGTCAGTAAAAAATGTTTTCATTGTTTGTCGAGAATGAAACACAACGCAGCATTGATGAAACAAATAAGACTACATTTGATGACTTAGAAAAATGAGAACCTAATATGGTTGGTAAAATGGTATATGAGTGTAGCTGTATTACTGTATACATAAATTGATTTTGCAATAACTTTTATAACTAATATAAATACAAAATAATCATTTTATATTTTTATTGTTTGCCAATTGTACCATGGATATGAGTTCTTATTTTAAATTCTGTAATCATTAATTATTTTCTAATAATATACAGCCATACTTCAACTTCTCATCATATTGGTGTCATAAAAACAGATTCAAATTAAACACATCTAAATGCGTTGAACTATACTGAAAAACTATAAAATTAGCAAGTAGTAAATACTCCATTTTTGATATTCACCTTGAATACGTTAACTATCTTAGAGATCTTAGGGTTATATTTCAGTCTAACCTTCTGTTTCTTTATCATAAGTTACTCAAAAAAGCAATCTAATTTTTTTTATTAGAAAGACATACAAGTTCAAACGTGAGCATTGTCTCACTTGACTGCCCAATACTTGAGTAATGTTCAATTCTACGAGGAACCCTTTGTATAACTCGGTCTTATTGAATCGCTTGAGTATCTTCAGAGACAATTATACACTGTTTAAAAGATAGAAAGACACTGTAAATACATAACCCATCAGCCATTTCTTGATTATACCTATAGTGGTGTAATCTTAACTTAGATTTCTCTAATATAGACTCCGATTTATAAATATTTATTGCAAGGCAATTTTTTTAATTAAATCATATCTTGTATTAAGTTACTGCAACTAGGTAAAAAAGGTTCGTGTCCTATATATTTGTCTCATTTTAGTCCTACAGCATCAATAATAACGCAATGCACTTCATAATATGATTAAAATAACCCCATAGATTGTATCTTTCGAGCAAGTAACGAATTAAAAAACTTTGATTTATTCGATACAAAATGTTTACATTTTATGTCTATACTTTCATTGTACTTTAATATTTTCTTTTGTATTCGTAGTTATTAAATGTAATTACATTTTTTTTAAATTGTACCTATTAATTATGTAGTTTTAGTTGTGTATTATATATTATAGAAAATGTATTACTCAAATGTACCTACCTATATAAATATGTAATTATTTTTAAATAAGCATAATATACTGCATACCTACTTAAAAAATATTATGCACCTATTATACTTGAGCCCATACAATCATTTACACTAAATGATTTTTTTTTATTCATAAATAAATAATGTGCTGTAAAATATAATATAATATAATATGCAATGTTCAAATGTTAAATTACACAAGTATATTAATTATCAATAATCGTGAGGAATAGAAATAAAAATGACTCATAATTACATTCTTATTAATATAATTTATTATATTTTAACAATAAAACAAACTATATAATAATATGTTCAGATGGTATAACAAAAGAGCTGATTTCCATGGTTGGAAATTAAAGCTCCGTGTAAAAAAAAAATAACTGACAATAAATTATTAGTAAGCTTTGTACGCAGCTGGTTTGTAAGCCGGGGCGGCGTAAGAGTGAGCTGGGGCGGCGTAAGAGTGAGCTGGGGCGGCGTAAGAGTGAGCTGGGGCGGCGTAAGAGTGTCCGGCGTATGCAGCTGGGGCGGCGTATGAGTGTCCGGCGTATGCAGCTGGGGCGGCGTATGAGTGTCCGGCGTATGCAGCTGGGGCGGCGTATGAGTGTCCGGCGTATGCAGCTGGGGCGGCGTATGAGTGTCCGGCGTATGCAGCTGGGGCGGCGTATGAGTGTCCGGCGTATGCAGCTGGGGCGGCGTATGAGTGTCCGGCGTATGCAGCTGGGGCGGCGTATGAGTGTCCGGCGTATGCAGCTGGGGCGGCGTATGCGTGTCCGGCGTATGCGGCCGGTGCGGCTTTGTAGGCTGGGGCGGCTTTGTAGGCTGGAGCGGATTTGTAAGCTGGTGCGCTGTAACCGTTGCTATGTCCTTCGATTTTCTTGACTTCAGCGTTGAAACCGCTGTGGTCGTCGGCGGTGTATTCGACGACGCGGGTGGAACCGTCGGCTTCCAAAAGGCTGTACGATCCCTTGACGTTTCCGTGTCCGTCGCTGTATTCGGATTGGCTCTTGACGTCGTAGGTGTGTGGGTCGTTTACGCTGTACTCGAAGTTGTACGGGGTCGGGGCTGAGTGTTCAGCGGCGTAAGCGTGGTGTGCTGGGTAAGCCGGGGCTGCGTATTCGGCGAGGGCGGCAGCCACGCAGGTTGCGAAAATGATCATCTGAAAATACAAAATGTTTTTATTTAAAATAGGGCTTCAAGCGAAAAAAAAATGGAATTGACAATCTAGAATAACAGTCATCGTTAGATATTAAACTTTTTACTATATTGAAAGGAATCTAAATACCTTAACTGCCATTTTTGTTGTTTGTTGCTTTTTTTTCTTTTGAACGGTGTTGTTGGCACTTTGATCTGTGGATTGAAACTGATAGCAACTCACTTGTGATTCTCCGTATTTATGTAGACGGAAAGTTGTAATTGTGTCCCTACCAATAACTTAATTTAGTGAGTTTATGTCATTATATTATGTTATAACCGGTTACATACAATGTATATTATTATTATTCTTTCATTTTTCTTCTTATTTAAGACTAATTTTGTTACCATATTTATGCTAAATATTCCTTTCCAATAAATTGGTCTGACATAAATACACAACGTTATATAGTCATTTCATTGAATTTTCGAAGGACTTTTATATTTTTTTAAATTATTTTTAAACCTAAAATTAAAATAGTAATTTCCGAAAAGTACCTCAAAAACTAATTATTTTACAAACATTCTGAAATGATCTCGTAAATTACCTACTTCTTATTTAAACACACTAACACAAATTTCTTATCGATTGCTAACATAATAATTTTTTTAATATATTTATTACTTAGGTAAAATATATGAAGGATTCACGTTAGATACGTGTCATACATTTAATTGTTCAAGCTGTACTGATGAAATTATGCTGTTTAAAATTGTGTTAGAATAGAATCATATATTAATCAAAAATAACGTAAAATAAATATCTACAAAATATTGTCCATTGTTTTAAAAAAAAATATATTCAAATTTCTACTGATGTTGATTTTTTTTTTAGTTTTTAATAATTATATTTTATATTCTGAGCAGATCATTGAATCAGTTTTATTCACCTAAATCTTTTATTTTTATTTTAACTATTGATACTATACATTTCAAAGTAGTAAAAATGGTTTAATTTTGAATTTTGGGGGTGCGGTTTCTGGTATGAACTTGGATTTAGATCAACTGAGGCTCATCTTCTATGGTTTGTATTTTACGTTAGAAGTAGGGAGGAGATTGATTCAGAAATAAAAAATACCTGGTCATTCAAAAATAATAGATGAATAATAAAAATACAAATATAGAGAATGTTTTCAAAAAACCCGTTTATGATAATTTTTATTTAATTGTTTTTCCTAATATAAATTAGTATAGAGAATTAAATTTTTCACCAAATAGGTTCACATAATATTATTATATATCAATAATTTCTATAAATTTTATAATTTTTATAATATGTTGAAGGTTTTCATGCTATTTAAAGACGACCAAACTTTTTATTTCATGTTTTTAAATTTCCGTATGATAAAAATATTGGGTATACATTATTTATTGGTTATTTATGAAAAGTATAATAATCATAGGATCTTGAAACTTTTCGCTATTACCAATGTATATTAATGTTTTCTATACAAAAACACTTTTTTAAAGTATTTACATTAATTCAGAGTTATTTATATTAACATGGACCTATTTATACATACAGTTAACAGTTTATCATATAGAAGAATAAATTACAATCATTACATATTATAAACTAATCATAAAAATATATCCTTATAAAGAGAGGTTCATACTCGGAATCGTTTTTTTTTTTGTATGCAATGAATTATCATTGAATTCAAATTTAACACATTCATTACAATGACCTATTTATTGCATGCCGAGGTGCATTTTAAATCTACAATATAGCAGAACAATTTTTCCGGTTATTTATAAATTCAGCTTTTTATCATACGATGTTATTATTTTTTTTATGACATGTATTGAAATGCAATTCAATAAAATATATAAACTATAAATTAATTAAGTTTTATGTTTTCAAGCACTTTTTTCATACTATGTGGTAATTAATTAAATTCTAGTCGATATAGTATTTTAATTGAATTTAAGTGTAGCTTTCAAAAAACAATAAAATATGGCTTGTACTGTGGCGACCGTAGTGAATCGGGTTGAGTGCAGTCTATGTTGCCAGTCCGAACTTTTTGACACACCTTGCACGTAACTATATTGTAATTAAAAAACCAGGAAGTTGATCTGCAGTATAGTATTATTGGAAAGTACCTTGTCATTGAGAAGGTTGCTTTTACGGAACGGTTAAACTTGAATATAATTATTGCATGCAAAAAACGATTCTGTAGAACGAAAACGTTTGTCAGCCTGCATTTCTAAGGGTGTTTTATAATTTATTAATAGTTTGACTTTAAGTAAATTATATTTTTTAATTTTGTGTGTTGAACTAATTTCGCTAAAATCATCACTTATTAGTTATTATGTTATATTATTGATTGTTGTAATAATATTATGTTTATATTTTTGTACCATGCCTTACTGTTATTAACTTAGAAGTTTCGTCAAATGGTGTGGATATATGTTCCTGGTACTAATAATGACTTAAAATTAGGCAAAATATTTTAAAGGTTTCTGAGTGAACAAAATTACAAATTGATTAATGGGGAACTTCAAGTTTCTTCGATTAATAATTTTTACATAATAAAAAATACCGAAATCATTATTAAGTGTTATTATGTATAATATGTATGATATTGTACGTATATCCAATTTATTATGATGATATTAAACGTTCATAAAAGTGTAAGGGATTTGAGATTATAACTTTTTAAAATACAACCATTAAAAAAATTCTTACAAAGAATTGTGTAAGTAGTACATTTTTAATGTACATGACAGTGTTACAATTAATAATTGTACAAATTGTATAAATTACTAAATAGTTAGCTTATTTCCATAATTTTTACTTATTTCGCTTCCATTTTTAATTTTTAACTTAAAATATAAAAAATATTAAATACGTATTTTCGATAATTTTTAATTAGTGTAAGAACAAAATTTGAGTAACCTCATTTAATTTTCAAGCATTTTTAAGTACAAAAAATAATATTTTAATTTAACGTTATAAATTTAAATAAAAATCAATGTTGAAAATTTCAAGTCTCGAAATTAAACAAAAATAGTTTTAATATTTTGAAAGTTATATCATATCTAAAAATGTCTTGCACAAATATTTAATGAAAAATAGGTCTTATTATTATCTACATTAAAAAACAACATCAGTTATGTCAACACATTTTGATCTTATCAACTAAATATTCTTACTTATAATGGAATTGAATTATTTCCTCTATTAAAAAAAATTATAGTTTATGTAATTAAGAATAAAATATTATACAGAACAGTTATATTATGTCGAATAAAATCACTTTTATTTTAAATAAGGTATTAATAAGATCGATCTGATTGTATGCTAGCTGTACATATCACTTAGATAATATTACTATGCAATAAACACTAATCACTATTGAACAAATATATTGAAATACGGCATAACAGTTTAGCTTCCAAGCGATTTTGGAAATGTTGTAAAATATTACTCAGATTATTCTTTGAATGTACATAACTTTATTAAACGTATGTACTTATTTGTGATGCATTTGTAAGTACATCACAGTCATAGATACTTATGATATATACCAACTTAATTTTGTGTTGTGTTGGAAGGAGAGTAAATGTTTTGACGACATTTGTATTCGTAAACTAAAATAATAAATATTTATTCAACTAAATATTTTATTTTTATTATATTACAAACTATATTAGCGACTTTTTTGGCCCCTCTTGTTGCCTTGAGCAGCTAATCCTCCCCCCTCACTTTTAATGCACCTCTGCTACACATTTACTCGTTCCGATATGTCGTATTTAAAGCAAACACTTTCGTACAATGGATTTTATGCACTCTCAACCTCGGTCTCACCGTATTTTTGTATTATACGTCTACACCATAACAAAATTATACAGTATAGGTATCTTTTTTGTCGTGGTCTACACGTTGAAACAAGTTGTACACCCATGACATAGACGTTACGATGAGCAATTGTGATATTATATAAAACCAAGTTCTACAATCAGTCGTGCAATTAATTGAATCATGAAGGTGACGATTTTTTGACAGCACTTCTTGGGGGCCCTGATTATGACCAAAAAAAAAGTCAGTTCGGCAGGGTTCAAGACCCTCAGCCCTGGCTAGGCCGACACTGGTTGTCAGTTGAAATTCATTGGCTGATATCATTACCTTCGTTATATTCATAACTCATAAAGTAGTATCTATAGATTTAGTACCTATCTAAACTGTTTTTTCGAAAAAGTTATGACGATTACTGTTTTTACTCATTTTAAAAATATATCATATTACGATCAAGACATTAAGAAGGACCAGTTTCCCATTGAGTGAACAAAAAAAAAATCAATACAATATATTATAATTCAATTGTTTTATTATATATTTCACAATTGAATAAATTATACATGATCAGATGTTAGAAGAACAAAAAAACTGATTTCTATGACGAAATGCGGCTCATTGTAAAAAATTTAGTTTGTTGAATGTTGAAGCCAAAGTTATTAGTATGCCTTGTATGCGACTGGTTTGTAAGCCGGGGCGGAGTAAGAGTGTGCAGCGTATGCGGCTGGGGCAGCGTAAGAGTGAGCTGGGGCAGCGTAAGAGTGTCCGGCGTATGCAGCTGGGGCGGCGTATGAGTGTCCGGCGTATGCGGCCGGTGCGGCTTTGTAGGCTGGGGCGGCCTTGTAGGCTGGGGCGGATTTGTAAGCTGGTGCGCTGTAACCGTGGCTATGTCCTTCGATTTTCTTGACTTCAGCGTTGAAACCGCTGTGGTCGTCGGCGGTGTATTCGACGACGCGGGTGGAACCGTCGGCTTCCAAAAGGCTGTACGATCCCTTGACGTTTCCGTGTCCGTCGCTGTACTCGGATTGGCTCTTGACGTCGTAGGNCCGTCGCTGTACTCGGATTGGCTCTTGACGTCGTAGGAGTGTGGGTCGTTTACGCTGTACTCGAAGTTGTACGGGGTCGGGGCTGAGTGTTCAGCGACGTAAGCGTGGTGTGCTGGGTAAGCCGGGGCGGCGTATTCAGCGAGTGCTGCGGCCACGCAGGCTGCGAAAACGATCATCTGAAATATGCATCGACATTATAATATTACCGAATACGATTTATAATATTTCAAATAAACATGTTAAATAATTTAGAAACTTTAATAGACTGCTCGAAATCAAATTGATATTACATTATTGAACAAGATCTTAATACCTTAGCTGCCATTTTGTCGGTGTTTTTTTTTTTGAACTGTGCTGTGTATGCTTGGTTCTGTTGATTGAAACTGATAGCAAATCACTACTGATTATCCGTATTTAAGCAAAACGAATGTCGTGATTACTTCCCTTCCAGTTGCACACCGTAATATACTTAGTAATTAGATAAACGCAGATTATGTCTGATTGTAACCGGTTGTAGACAATATATTATTAAATTTTTCATTTTTTAACACTTTTGCAGCTACCGCCCTCCAAATAAATTATACTCTAGAGTTAAGTGAAAACACTTAATCATTTTCAGCTCTCCTACTTTATTCATAATTATTTTCAAACCTAATATTTGCATTTGTACGAAAAATGTGCCAAAATTGATTTTCATTGTGATTTCCATGGGGGCTATTTCAAAGGGAACATAATAATATATTTTACTTACTGGTCGATAAAAATTAAAATAAATTTATTTACATAAAACCTGTTGCAAAAATTTTAATAATAGGTTGAATTTTTTCTATCGGTATTAAATATAAAACAATTTAATAACACAATGTCAAACCAATCAAAATAAAATTTATCCTTATAACCAGTTTAAATTTTTTTATGTACATTTATCGTTTTTTGTTTGTATGCGAAATGCGAACATTAATTTCAAAACTCAACTCTAAATAAAATTGGAATTTTTTTTTTTACATTTAGTTTAAATATTATCTCCCTTCTTTTTATCTTCGTTGTGTAGTTTAACGAAAGAATTTGTTAATATTGTTCTAAAAATTTAAAAAAACCTTTTGTTCATTGATTGTACTTAAATTGTTAAATGTGAAGTGACTGTTCAATTTATAAAATAATTAATGAAACTAATCATTATAAATAATATTAATATTAGTATACCTTTACTCTACTAATTTAAATTTAGTTCGAAACAAGCATATATGCTTATAACTAATTGAAATATTGTGTATGTATCATGATGAATGAATAAACAGAAATAAATCAAAGGAAACTATGAAGCTAACATAACTAAAATGCGATATTTTTGTTTTTGTAATGGTATCATTTTTACTAAGAGAAATAAAATGGCTTTTAAATGATGAACATTTTTATTTTATGTATATTTGATAACGATTGATTCCTAATAAAAGAAACACCTTGTGTATTTATTTATATAGTCTCGATGGCCTATAATACAATCAAGGAGATACTATTTAAGATTTAACATAGCAAATTGTGGCATTGAGAAATTTAATAAGTTAAGTTATACAATTTCAAGAACTAAATATAACTAGCAAAATTAAAGACTGAGAGTGGTAGGGTCACTGTCAAGATATTGTGATTCATTGTGGAGAAATGATATAGGCTAATGAGAAATGAATTTAGATTTTTATAAAAAATAGTAAATTCCCATACATCCAAATATTATATTTTTAATCAATATTACGGAACTGAAACCTCTAATGTCTATTAACTAACTAATTTACATAGAAATGTTTAGTTACCTATGACGTTCAATTCCTGTGAACAAGTATGATGTACCCATTAGAAAAATCATACTTATCATAATTATGCGTCATCTACAATCTGTAAAATATTTTGATTGGTAATAACTAATAAGTAATAAGTCATACTAGTTATAATATCATTTTAAAGAAGTACAAATAAGAAGTCAAATAAAATAAATTTAAATAATAGTTATATATCTTATTATTAAATGCTCAAACGCAGTAACGCTCGTAGGCGTTCTATAACTATGATTGACAATTATCCCATAGTAAACAGCATATACTTGGCATTTTTTTCCCTTTTACCAGTCGAAAAATTACCTGATAAGTAATATGATATGAATAATATGATAGTATCAGCAACATGCACAATTATACAGTATTTCATTGTATGAAATATTTGTTGTAATTGAGAAAGGCAGAACATACACTGAAAATAAACCGATGATCAGTTTGAGTCATGTAAATTAATGAAACTATTTTCCTTTATTTTAAATCACTTTTATGATAAAAATAACCAACAGTCACATAAATCATTAAACAATGGCTAAACCTTTATAGTTTGAATCGCCACTATTGCAAAATGAACAGTTTTGAGTAGGTTAACTTATGTAATCCAAGGTTATCTCAACTACCTTCCAATAAATTCTTAAATTCTATGTTAGTATTGACGACTTAATTGTTTTTCAATGAATGTACTACTAAATTCTATCAAATTTATCATTGCTTACAAATAAAATTTTTTTTTTATCTGCGTAATTTATTTTGTACTTTGGACAAATTTCGTCATTTTTAATACAAATTGTTATTATAAGTTACCCGTATCGTATTTTTTGTTAAATCTATACCTACATAGGTATTCTGTTGATTTCATATGTATATTATTTAACTTTTAGTACTATAGTCTTAAGCAATCCAAAAATCTATATTGCCATGAATAAAGGTCCGGTTAGAGTATATGCTATAAAAATATATTCATAATAAAATTGAACTTATTATTAAATTAAGAAATAAAGAAACAACTGCTTTTTTTTTATTTGGTGAACAAAATTACAGTTACAATATTATTTAAGATAATGCTACATCCTTAGTTTGTGATTTGACTTATAATCAAACTTAAATTTAGTAATATTGAATGTTTTACCGTCAGTTTTTGCAATATTTAAATTTAAAAGAAAACGTTGTGCATTTTGTACATTTTAATATTTTACATACTCATAACTCGTTCAAAAATCATAATACCATAAAAAAATGACAAAATATAATAGATATTGTGCCAACTTTAAAATTTGGTTATAGGTCAATTAATTCTAATATTAAATCTTACTAGGTACACAAAATCAGTTCTACTGAACGCTCATTTGCTCTGTTGTACGTTTCTAATAGATGGAGACAACATATAATGAGAGTGTAGTGTCCAATCAAAAGAAAACTATTTGAGTAATTAAACACAGAGCAAGATAATTTTAATCGGTAAAAACAAATACAAAAAAAATACAAAAAAATACCAATGCTCATAGTTGTATAAATCAAAATGTATTTACAAAATAAATAAATTATAACATAATTTGATTAACAAGTGGTTAAGTATTTATGGCGGTAAAGAACGTTCGATCATGTTACTAATAATTTAAATTGTTTCAAAAACATTTGGCAATATTAATTTGCCCTGAATGGGGCCGGTAAATAAGCCGGGCTGGAGTAAGACGGTACTGAGTGAGTAGCTGGGGCGGAATAGGCAGATTATAGGTGGTGACGCTGTACTTTGTAACCGTGGTTATGTCCTTTGCTTTTTTTAACTTCAGCGTCGAAACCTCTGTGATCGTCAGCGGTGTATTCAGAGACCCGAGTGGAACCTTCGGCATTCTGCGATCCTTTGGCTTAACCGTTTAGAATCAACTTTGCACGTCGTAAGTGTGTGGGTCGTCTACCCGTCTACACTGTACTCGAAATTGTACAGGATTGCGGCGTAAGTGTGTTCAGCTTGAGCATAAGGATATTGTGTTGGGTAAACCGATGTAGCATATTGGGCAAAAGCGGTGGCAACGCAAGCCGGAAAAATGATCATCAGAAATAAAATTATAACTATCAAGTTTTCATTTTCCATTGAAAACCCCAATTTTACAATTATTAAAAGTTGTACAATAAACATGTTATGGTTATAAAGTTGTTAGATAATTTATCGAACAAAAATCGTATGTATCTGTATGACCAAAATATGTTAACCTCATTTTTTTAAACAGTACGGAGAAAAAATATTTGAACTAATATCTATTCCCTACTAGGTTTCATATTTAATATTATTTATATCAATTAAGTATTGACCATTGGCATTGCATCCCTTCAGATAACTTAAAAAGTTCTAAAACTTTATACTGGTATAGCTTATACCAACATATTTGTTGTATTTTTATAAGCCCATCTACTATAACTATCATATATTTTCGTGTTTCAAATAGTTATATATTATTGTATTGTGTATAACTATTTACTTCGCCCCTTTACTTGATACTCCTTTCTCATAAAGTGAAATGCGATATAATTTGGTGTCATTCTATATTACGAAATCAGAGCTCATTCACAGATTATAATGAATAAAATATTATTTGTGTAAGTGCTGTGGAATTTAGCGTTATAATTGTTTTATATATCATATTGATATAAGTTTTAAATGTCGTATATACAACTATATTTGAATTTGTGATTGAATCTATTGGGACACTTTAAATGCTTTAACGAATGGCACCAAATTATTATATACATCACTTTATTGTAAAGGACTAATTACCATTTTGGGCGTGGTAAATTTATAATTGTTCAAAGCACTAAAATAAGTGATAATATTGATTATTGCATACCGGTTGTAATACAACATATATTATATGCGTTTATGATTTAAAGTTTTGGGAGGGATTACACTTCATGGATCACTCAACATAAATACGAAGAATCAATAGTGAAAGATATCAGTTCTTAACTAAAACAGTACCAAACACACAGTTAAAAAACACATTTATACAAAATGGCCGCTAAGGTACTTGTGTCTTTGTTAAATATTATATTATCTGAAAACATTAATCTTAAAACATGTTCATTTTGCATTTTTAATCTTAACGCTTTTATTGCAGATGATCATTTTTGCTGCCTGCGTGGCCACCGCTCTCGCTCAATACGCCTCCCCAGCATATCCAGCGCACCACGCTTACACTCAATCTGAACACTCGTACGCCCCAACCCCATACAACTTCGAGTACAGCGTAAATGATCCACACACCTACGACGTGCACAGCCAATCCGAGTACAGTGACGGAAACGGTTACGTCAAAGGGACTTACAGCCTTTTGGAAGCCGACGGTTCAACCCGTACCGTCGAATACACCGCCGATGACCACAGTGGTTTCAACGCAGTCGTCAAGAACGAAGGTGGATACAAGACCCCAGCTTACTCTGCACCAGCCTACAAGCCAGCATACTCTGCACCAGCCTACTCTGCACCAGCCTACAAGCCAGCATACTCTGCACCAGCCTACAAGCCAGCATACTCTGCACCATCTTACTCTGCGCCAGCCTACGCCGCCCCAGCTTACCCAGCACCCGCATACTCTGCCCCGGCCTACAAGCCAGCATATAAACCAGCATACTGATCATTTCTCTAGTCATGCCATTGATTATGACAACCATATTTCAGTCTTATAATGTATAATAATATCTCCATTGCCCATCATCAAACCATATTTGTGCCATCGTTGTGTTTATGTTGTAAATAAATAATAAATTAAGTAATATCAAACAGTTTTTTACATTTGTGTACTTGCAATTGTAGATACACCTATCTAGGAGGTATCTACTAAGTGTTCTCCCTATATTTATTTGAGTTGTATAATTAGGACACTCTAACCAGGCTCTAACTAGACTAGCCATTAAAATACAGCGCCTATGACCACAGCGGCTTCAACGCCGAAGTCAAGAAAATCGTAGGATATAGCCAAGGTTATAAGGCACCATACAGCGCACCTGCTGCCCCATTCTACAGGCCAACTTACTATGCATCCACAAACTCTGCCACAGCCTACAGATCTGCCTCTTCCACCCCAGCTGCGTACGCATCGCCACCTTACTCCGCCCCGGCTTGCAGACCATGCAAGGCTTACTAATTTTCAAACTGTCCAACCGAAACTTCGTTGAAATTGTTTTAAAGTCACATGGTTGATAATTAGAAACATCTCATTTATCACAAATACTTGACTCTTTGTTTATATATGATGTTGTTATTGATTTATTATTTAAATAAATACTACATTTTACTAATTCTGCACATTTATTATTCATGTGTCGTTTAATTTTTTTTAATTATTTAAAATCATATATAATGAATTATAACGTGGGGAAAAAAATAGGTGGCTCCAGAGAAATGTTTGGGGGGGGGGGAGTCATAATTTTCCCAAAACGTTCGATATTCTAATAGGTTTTTTCTAAATTTTGTTATTAACAGTACACAATTTTTAGAAATACGGGCTTGGCAAGGGGCCGCGGCCCCTGGCCATCTTTGGATCCACCTCTGGCCGTAATGTAGGTTATATTGCATTATGATACATTGCCTGACCTACATATTTTTCTCTGCCTGATGTTATTGGACATTTCATTCAAATGTCATTATGCAAGACAATGTACTCTTGACTATTTTAAGATTAACTGTAAGAAAAAATAATTTTAAAAATTGCAATTTATGATTAATAACCTGCATCTTTAAAGAGGTATACATTATAACTGTCAATTCAGTACGTTTTATAAATTTATAGAACAGAACCATAAAAAGAAATTACTTGAAACGTACCTACTATTGTTTCTTTTTTCAGTTTGTATTTCAAATACACATACTTATATGGATATATATTAAACTCTATATTATTATCTTTTCAATTATCATCGTGTCAAGATTTTTTCATCTTCTAAATTAAAATTAGTTGTCGGATGATCAAAATAATTGGTGTTTAGTTAAATTAGTATTTTTATGCAAAGCAATTGTGTATGATGTAGTATTTGTTTATACAAGTGTATGCTTTGTTTAAATAAAAGTAAATTTTAAAATTTTAAGTATCTAAAACAAACAAAAAATAAAAATATTTAAGCATATTATCATCCAAATCAAGTATTTAAATAACAAATCGGTTTAAATTATATTTCCAGATCTGATATACAGCGGCGGACTTATTACATTGGTTCTGCATTGCCCATAGAAATTGGGTTGCATTGTTCGATAAACAATAGCCTGATTTGCAGCTAAAATGTATATTATAATATTTCTTTTACTTTGATATATCATCATGTAATTTTTTGTGTAGTTACTAAATAATTTATTATTTAATTATATTTGTAATAATTATTACATACAAAACTGTCACTAATCTAATTTTATCACTTAAACGTCTAAAATTGAGTATAATTTTTATAATTTAAAAAAAAACAATGCATTAACTTAAACGATTACATTTTTAAATTTGAATGTACCTTTAATAAATGAAAAGAATTATTTGAACACTCTTCTCATTTCTCGTGTATTTCTGAGAATTTTTTTAATTATTGAACTTGAATAATGTTTACTTCACTAATTTCTATTTAATATTGAGCTTTCAATTAAACAATGAATTAAAACATTTTGAATTTATGATGTATTCCAATATACCAATAAATATTGAATACGTTTTTAGTCTTATAATGATTTTCTTATTGATAATATGTATTTATTTTTCATTGTTCTAGTTGCATATGAATTTTATATACTAATTTTGTTTTGTTTAAGATTCAATAAAAGTCTACTTATACTTTGGTTATGATAAGTGAATTGAGTTTATTTTTGTATGATATGATTTATTGCTATATTTGGAATTTTCCCCCTGTTAATTATACTGTCCAATATCGCATTAATAAAATAGGTTCATTTTTGATTTTTCTAAAGGACCTTATTATTCTTTATACCGAATATTTTTGAAACTCGTTGATACACCCTCCAAATATATATTTTCTATAATATTGGTAAAAGGGGTTTTAACATTTAACATATAATACAATTCTGGAATGTGTTATTTTCAATCCACTCGGGCTTGTTTTTGTTACTTAAAAACGACATATCATAAACAATTTACGAATATTATATTTACTTGCATTCGTAAGTTACTGAGGCAGCTGAGTTGGTATGTCGGTTCGCTATTGCTGCAGATTCACTATGATATGACAATTATTAGCAACGTTCAATTGTTTCTGGTATTGGAACCACAGTGTCCATGGCTGACATGTATATGTGATGATAAGATTTGAACCAAAAACGATATTGCCACTATAGAGGCGTATACATGATCAATCAATGATAGCTGAATAATAAATAAAAAACACAGATGTATAACAGTTAATACATATTTGTATGCATTTATTTACACAATAAATATACAAAAGTCACAATAAGTATTTTACATATGAATGTGCCAATGTTTAAGAACTATGGTTTGATGTGAACACCATAGTTGAGAGGTAAATGAAAACAATGTGAAAAAAAAGATGGAAGCATGTAGGGAACACGACTAATTAAATTAGTATGCTGGTTTGTAGGCCGGAGCCGAGTAAGAAGGGGCAGAGTGTGCGGGTGCTGAGTAAGCTGGTGCAGAGTAAGCTGGTGCAGAGTGTGCGGGTGCTGAGTAAGCGGGTGCAGAGTATGCTGGTGCAGAGTAGGCTGGTGCAGAGTATGCTGGTGCAGAGTGTGCGGGTGCAGAGTAAGCTGGTGCAGAGTGTGCAGGTGCTGAGTAAGCGGGTGCAGAGTATGCTGGTGCAGAGTATGCTGGTGCAGAGTATGCTGGTGCAGAGTATGCTGGTGCAGAGTAAGCTGGCTTGTAGGCTGGGGCAGCAGGTGCGCTGTACGGTGCCTTGTAACCTTGGCTATGTCCTTCGATTTTCTTGACTTCGGCGTTGAAACCGCTGTGGTCATCGGCGGTGTATTCGACGACACGGGTTGAACCGTCGGCTTCCAAAAGGCTGTAAGTTCCCTTGACGTTACCGTTTCCGTCGCTGGATTCGGATTGGCTGTGTACGTCGTAGGTGTGTGGGTCGTTTACGCTGTATTCGAAGTTGTACGGGGTTGGGGCGTAAGCGTGTTCGGCTTCAGCGTGTTGAGCTGGGTAAGCTGGGGCGGCGTATTGGGCGAGTGTGGTGGCCACGCAAGCGGCGAAAATGATCATCTGAAATTGAAAAAAAAAATGTTTAAAAAAAATTGTTGTAGTACTAAGATAAACTTTTTTGTAAATTGATTGAAAATAATATATGTACCTTAACTGCCATTTTGTATTTTTGTGTTTGAACTGTGCTGTATGTTCTTGTTAGTTCTGCTGTTTGAAACTGATATCTTTTCACTGTTGATACAGCGTATTTATGTTGACTGATAATTTTTAAATTTACCCTTCCAATAAATATTGAATAATACACATCACCATATTGATATGTTTGATATGTTATAACTTCTTGAACCGGTTGTATTCGATATTATACTATTAATATTATTATTTTCGACACTAATCAGTTACCTTCTATATTTGCCTAAATAATATAACCCTATCCAATTATTATTTTTTTTATTTCGTATGGCATAATCCAATTATTAATTGATGTGACATAATGTTATTACATATTTTGTTATCGGTTTGATTATTGATTTGACATACTTAGTATCTACATTTTACCCATAAACTATGTCAATATGTCAATATTTTAAATTGTCCTATACAAGATGATTCTGTAAATTAAGATATTGCCTTTATCAAATTGAAAAATATTAAAATGTATCTATTTCTTAAATAATTTTAGTTTATTACTATAAGAACAAATATTGATTTTCAATTTTTATCCGTGTTATATTATTAAAACATCGTGTGTTGGTCACTTATCACATATCTCGCCACCTAATTTGTCCTCGTTGTGGCTGTCTGTGCATAATTATTAGGAATTATAAATTTAAATGTTTCTAATAGATATTACAAAATCAAGTTTATGAAATAATATATAGATCATGTAAAAATATAAATTATAACCTTCTTTCTAAAACTTACTTATAAAAAAAATATTATAGAAGTTATATTATTACAAACAGATTTATATAGATAAAATGAACATTAGGTTATTCCATTATACAATATGTGTACATAGTAGGTACATAAAATTGCTTTCAATGAAATATTGAAAATTGTTTAAGTTAACCGATTTATAAATGTACAGAATGTACTTATAGTGTTCACAACTCAACAACGTATAATTATTTATGTAAATATTATTGTGATTTTAGCAGTGGGTTATCAAAATCGTATTTCGGATCATCAGTCCGCTTATATTCTGTCGTCGATAAACAACACACCTACAGTTAAATTAAAATGTGCAAACCTGTTTCCGTATTTTCATCGGTTTAATGACTAGTCTATCAGACGTATGACTACATTTTATTGTTATAAGATTAATGCAACTTATGAATTCAATACATTTTCTTTGATTTAATATTGCCTTATACTAATAAAAATCAAAAATATTAGGTACTGTTTTGTGTTTTTTTTTAAATTATTCACAATAGTCAGCAACACAATAAAATATTGATAATATACTGTTAGAACCATGACAAAATTCTGCTAAGATTATCTTCAGTGAACAAACGAAAATAATTGGTTTGCAAATATTCCCAGAGAAACAGCCGATGAAATTAATGCCTAACAATTTTTTGAATGCAATACTGAATGATTACCCAATACCTAAATGTGGTTGCGACAATAAGTTTCCATTTATTATAAATGTCTGTAAATATGAATTGAACTATCTTATAATCTTTTGGTTTTGTAATAATTTATCTTATTCACGAATGATCTTCGTATTCAATACCTATTTGTTATTAGTTTATTTAAGTTTTGTAACTTTTCGAATAATATTACAATAGAACATAATCTACATGCATGAAGGTACACGAAGGTCGGGATAAACATGTATTTAACTATGTAATTATATTAATAAGTAATAACGTGAGATACTATTATATCACATCAATGCCCAACCCGTGGCTTACAGCCTGCAGCATTTTCTGTAGCGCATTCCTTATGTGTGGCCAGTGAAATTTTGGATGAAGTAAACACAAAAATAACAAATAATTTAAATTATATAAAAATATTTTTAAAATCAATTCCACAATTTTTCATTTGTGCTGGATACACAATATTATGTTTCTGACCAATTTTTAGTACGGTTTTGATTGTCATGGATACTTATAAACAAAAACACATTGTCTAGTTCATAGATTTTCCTTGTAAAGAAAAAGCATCGAGTACAGTGTTTTGGTTCTCATAAGTTTTTACTTTTTATGACTGATTGAACAATATGAACGTTTTTCACATACTATAGACATAAAAGAACGTTTTAAATGTATTCACCATTTTTTTAATCCTAATAAGAAGTTTAAAAATATAGTTTTGATTCAATACATTTCTCAATTGTATTTATTTAATATTGACTAATTTTACTGCACTACTAATTAAACTAATTTTACTCTTCCAATTGTAATTACAACTCAACCTTAATTTCACCATAAAATGTAATATTACATTTTGTATGAACTTAATATTTGAATAATTAATACCTATTTTATGTTTTTAACTATTTAAAAATCAGATTTTGTGATTTGGCATAACGACTTAACATACAAGGTTACTCGTTCGATAACAGTTGTCCATTACTATATGATATACCTAACATAATATATGACATTAAATTGAATGTATACATATTATTTTATAAACCATTGATTAAATGGTATATCTAAGTAGATTTAATTTTAATAGTATATATCCGAATGATTAAAATTGTTCAGTATGTCCTGCTGCTGTGAACACTTTATGTCTTTATGTATAGTTCACACAAATCAACATCCACCCAGAATCGTTTTCGATTGAATGCAAACATGATTTCAAATTCAAATTAATAATACACTTGCACTATTCTGCACCGAGGTGAGCAAACAGAGGAGTAACTAACACTCGGTTTCTGTATCCAATATAATGATGTCTGTCCGATTTTTTCACTAAAACCGTTCGATACAATTTAAACTAAGCTATTCACACGTGTAAACGTGTTCTACTAAAATCAATAAATCGTACGTAGGTATACAACTTTTACAAATCGTGTGATTATCGTTATTGGTACTATTATGACGATATCACATTATAATATTATAATATGGAGTGTTTCGCCTTGTTTATTTCTGTATGATTTCCCTTACTATTAACGATTTTGAAACATATTATATACATTAATATATTTTAAGATACGAAATTAATAAAAATTGAATAGTGTGATTAAATAAGATATACCTAATGAGTCCAATAGTTCGGTAAAGGTTAGTTTTAAAGTTGAGGTAGAGTCTTGCATGCTATAGCTGTTGAAGTAGTGAATTAAAAATTTGATTGGACACCCCTTGCAACTTTACTCTTCTTATCAAAACGTTAAATGATTATTACCCATTTATAAAAAAAACAAAAGATTCAATGTTTAAACATTAAGATCTATAGGTACTTTAGATAATAAAACAATCAATATACGTTGTCTTTAAAAACAACCATCCCTTTCTGTTATAAAGAAAAGTTTCAAAGTACCTACCAATAGTGTTTTAAACCATGTAAGACTATGTTTTTTAATAAAAAATAGTGCAGCCACTTAAATATATCACCTCGTATCGCTTATGTAATTTGATTATTAAACATATCTTTAAAATATCAAATTATAAATAAATTAGTACAAATTATGCACATTACATGTTTTTAAAGACTTACTAGGTAACTAATCAGTAAACCGAACTCCGCTTGAAATCGTAATGATACATCATAATTATTGATTTCTAGTTAAATGACCCACTGTAGCCTAATTAACTTGTCCTGTATTTCACATATATTCATATTAAAATATGATATATATTATACCATTAAGATTACTGTATTCGTCGTAACGGTATTAGGTAGCATATTATAACGTAACAAACCATTCACAAACTACAATTATAGGAGAATTTTTTTTTTATAAAATTTATTTCTTCAGAATACTTTTTAATAAAAGAATAATAATATTTTTGTTGATTAATATTATTGACGCACATTGTTAAAAGTATATATATATATCATACATAGTTAATATTTTACTACTAGAATTATACAGAAAAACATATATTTTTCCCATAAACAAAATTGTTTTATTCAAATGGTGATGAAAAATCTGTACTTTAGTAGTTCACCATACCACAGAAACAGAATAAATATATAATACCAATTTGAGCAGAGGGAACAAATGGCAATGTCAAATGAAGAAAAACCTTTTATATTTTATTGTTTTTTTGTTTTTTTTTTTTTTTAATTGAGACTAGAAGGCTGTTCGAGACTATACACGTGCAGCTCTATAACAACGACATTAAAACTACCGTAGTAATTATATTACGTTCAAAATGCGAAAACATTAAGGAACTAAGCAATGTCCTACTGTTGCGCAGAATAGAAATTAAAATAAATTATTGTAATTCAAGTAATTGATTATAAATTTGACAATTGAATAAATTAAAAAAAGAAACATCCGTAGGTACTTTTGCTACTGATTTCTATTAAAAACTCAACTCGTCTTAAAAATTAAAAACAATTTAACAGATTGATGACTAATTAGTACCTATACATAAATCACTGGGACAGCTGAGTAAGTCGGTTAGCTATTGCTGCAGAAGCAGCTATAATACTATGAGACTAATGAATTAGCCACGTTCGATTTGTTCTAGCATTATTAGGTACTACGAAGTCAGTATAGGCAGTATATCTGGCGATACCTTTGAACCCTATAGTGTGTTCTTTATCAATTTATGATAACTGAATAATTAAAAAAACAACACAGAGATATACAACAAATGCATATTTATATGCATATATTTACACAATAAATACAATAGTCACACTAAGTATTTCACATATTAATATCATAATGTTTGAATTTTTAACCAAGGTTCAATGCGAACACTGTGAAATTGAAAGTTGGAAAGTTGGAGGAAAGTGACATGCACGACTAAGCAAATTAGTAGGCTGGAGCGGAGTGTGCGGGTGCAGAGTATGCTGGTGCAGAGTAAGACGGTGCGGAGTACGCTGGCTTGTAGGCTGGTGCAGAGTAAGATGGTGCAGAGTAAGCTGGTGCAGAGTATGCGGGTGCAGAGTGTGCTGGTGCAGAGTATGCAGGTGCAGAGTAAGCTGGTGCAGAGTAAGCTGGCTTGTAGGCTGGTGCAGAGTAAGATGGTGCAGAGTAAGCTGGTGCAGAGTAAGATGGTGCAGAGTATGCTGGTGCAGAGTAAGCTGGCTTGTAGGCTGGGGCAGCAGGTGCGCTGTACGGTGCCTTGTAACCTTGGCTATGTCCTTCGATTTTCTTGACTTCGGCGTTGAAACCGCTGTGGTCATCGGCGGTGTATTCGACGACACGGGTTGAACCGTCGGCTTCCAAAAGGCTGTAAGTTCCCTTGACGTTACCGTTTCCGTCGCTGGATTCGGATTGGCTGTGTACGTCGTAGGTGTGTGGGTCGTTTACGCTGTATTCGAAGTTGTACGGGGTTGGGGCGTAAGCGTGTTCGGCTTCAGCGTGTTGAGCTGGGTATGCTGGGGCGGCGTATTGGGCGAGTGTGGTGGCCACGCAAGCGGCGAAAATGATCATCTGAAATAAAATAATCGTGGTTTAAAAAAATGATTTTACTATAAGACGACGTTTGTGTCACAATTTATTGAAAATAACATAAGTAGGTACCTTGACGGCCATTTTTTTTATTTTTTTTTGAACTGTGCTATGTGGCTTGTTAGTTCTGCTTTTTCAAACTGATAGATGTTCACTATTGATCATCTGTATTTATGGTGACTGTTGTATGATCAAAATTCATCCCTTCCCTATAAATTAATTTCTCAAAAATATGGGCTGAATTTAATTTGAACCGGTTATAAACAATATTATATTATTATTTTCTGTTCATGTGCTTAAGCCATATATGGTTACCGCCCTTTATTAGTTGAATAATCCTTTCTAATGAGTGATTTGTCACACGACAATTTAGGTATACTTTTACTGCTCTATAACATCTCAGATACGCAATGAGTGGAGTGTCAAATTTACCAAACATTCGCCATTTCATCTCAAATTTCGCAATTTAGGAATCTAGTATACGATTTTGTATACATAGATATACTGCACTGATTATATTTAATAAAAACCACTGCTCTAAAATTAACTTAAAACATACTTTACTTTCTTAAAATATTTTACATTTCTTGTAAGTGTATTTTGGTATTTATACATATATAATTGTACATAATATAATATATTTATTCATTTATACTTTTGCTGAGCACTTGGCTTATTATTTTAGTTAATAATATTGAAAATTAGAACTTCGTTTGTATTATTGATTATTTAAAATCAATTCGAAATATGATTATATATTTTATCCTTATTAATTTAATTTATTTGTTGATAATTGTTTACTCAATTTTTTATGAAATATTTTTACCTACTAAGTTGTGTACTGTGTACATTAATAGGTATATATTCATACTATAGAACTTTGTTAAATCTCTATAGCAGTATAGCACTAACTGTTAGCCAACAAATTTTAAAAAAACTTCATTGTTTTGTTGTTGTTTTTCTTTTTTTTTTTAACTCAAACTGTACCAGAGATAGTGAACCTTTTTCGAATGACGTGCCAAAATGTTGTTATTAAAGTGTTTATAAAAAATCAAATGCCAGTAATATGTTCATAGACACCTATAAACAACTTTTACTTGAGCTAATGGGGGCTTATAAAATCCACTGTGCATTTTTTTATATCAGTTGTGTGTTTTGTAAATATTAATTTTTATAAATTAATAAAATTAATAAAATACAAGCAGCTTTACTTTACATCCATCAACGTATCAATCTTATGTGTTTATTAGAAATAATTAGTTTTTGGAAAATAAACATTCACAAATCTATGTTGATACGAGTATTGAACTTATTTGGAATAAAACATTTTTTTTTAAGTAGGTTCATGGTACCTATTATTTCTGGTAGCAGTGAATTCCAGACTTTTATAATTGGCACCCCTAGCTCATTATTATTCAGAAATAATAAGGAATATGGTTATAGTTTATACTTTGACGGTTAAAGTTAAACAATTCCAGTATCTACTTTTCTTAATAATAGGGAAAACCAAAATTTAAGATTTCTGAATTTTTAAGTAAAATCAGTATTTACGAAATCAATCTTCTTATTGTATCTATTTACGTAAAAAACAAATTACCGTAGATACTTAAAAATGTATATGAAATATTTGAATTATGATTTTCAAAACGTGGTAAAATTAAAAAATGTTTTTTCTTGTATTATTTGCATTATTTACATACAATATATTATATGCACAATTTCATTGTAGACACATTTTGAAGTTAGAATGTCAACGAAATTTGATATTTTAAATTTCAAACGAAGAATTTAACTTGAAACTCTTTTGTGTATTATTATATTTTTCAAAAGTACACAATGATGACATTTTCTAAACATTTAAACTAATTTTAAGCTATTTATACCATTCTACGATAAGATGAACGGTGTTGACTTAAAAGTTGATTACAATAATACATTATACAAATAATTAAAAATCAATAAAATAATGAATGCAATGTTTTCGGACTAAATTAAATCAACATACCGTCGTAATATTAATAGGAAAATAAACTTATTTTGTAATAGTATCAAAAAACATGATATCATGAACTAAAATCAGTAATATTTTAGGGTCATAACCACTCTCGCTCAGAACCTTTTTTCGTGTTCAATAATTTATCGTTGAATTCAAAATTAACACTGCATAAATTACGGTGACTTACGCAATGATGAGTGTCAATCGTTCGACACCTACAAGTTACAATAGACAGTAGAAACGGTTTTCTACTTCGCCTCCAATTGTTTTGATTCAACGAAAGATTGAACAACGAAATAAAAATACTATTTTCGAGTGTCGAAAAAATGTGTGCCATAGGTTGGCCATCTCCGTTATATACTATATACTGTTGTACTGTAGGTACATATTATGCCAACTATATAGTTATAACTTCACGGACATTACACGACAATGATGCCGAATAGTAGAAAAATCGAAAGTCACCAGTACTAGGATCCCAGATTCGAAACCGTGCAGTGGGCTGCCGCCGCGGCCGATCGCAATATTCTCGCACACCGAAATGCATCGCGATCGCTCTCGTGGCGCTCATAAAGTCCTGGTACGAATCTCGTCGTTTCCAAGCAAACTGTTCGTACTTGACGGACAATCCAAACAATTAACTAGTTATCACGACATAATATTGTATTCCGGTATTTTTGGTGTATTCAGTTCATTTCTGATGCTTATAACTGTAATAATATTTTACAAACTCCAACGCTTATTCCATCGTTTTTATTTATAAAATATCTGTAATATAATTGAATACATTATTTTTTCACTATAGAATTCCACATGTCTGTACTTTGTTTGAATTCAATAAGAACGATTGAAGTGTCGTTAATGCCTTAAAGACTATTATCTAGAGAAAACCCGTAATTTAATTTATTTATGCGTAAAGTATTAATGTATACTATAGGTATTATATTCAAGTAGTTTAAAGCAAAGCTAATCAACATACAGTTTATTTGTATTCATCAACAGAGTAATTGTATAGATTATACTCATATGAAATGAAATTAAAAAATGAATCAATATTTTGATCATATTATGTGACCAAAAAATAACCAAAATCACATAATTATTTGGACTAGAAGTGATAATATTATGAAAATGGAAATCATCAAAAATATCGATGTACCATAGTCCACAATCCCATAATATTATAGGTATATTGTGTTATAATATGCAATTTTTTATCTATCTAACTAAATATTACCATTAATATTATACATATCTTATAGTATTAACTACGATATATGATTATCAATTAACCAATTACTCAATTTTCGATTACTTAGGTATATCGTTTTAATAAAATGGTTAATATTATTTGAGTAAACTATACCCATAACGTTAATGCAACACAATTAATTTGAAAAAAATGTACATTATTGATACAAACTATTTTTTAACGTTCTTGTCAATAATCATTAGTTTGTTAATGCCTAAATTGAATAATTGGTTTAATACTTTTGACTAACTATTAACTACCTATGTTTTTTTATTATTATAAATTTATAACTATTGAAACGTTTAAAACATAATTTTTCTAAAAAAAAATTTTTTTTACAAAGCTATTGGCTTTTTTAAATTAAATAATGTGATATAAATAACGTTGACATTTAAAAGAGTTAGCAAATTAACAAAAATGTGCATTACGATATCGTTTAAGAATGTTTATATTGTTTTTTTTATTTAGATTCTCATCTTAAGGCTTAACTAACTTTTAAAAAAATAATATTCCTGATTCCAGATCTTGATTAATATTAGCACTACTCTGAATATTAGATATTTATAAATAAATAGGTACTACACATTTTGTTTGTTTTTAAAATATAAAATGTGTTTTACAATATTATATATTAATGTACAATAAACCATATTACAATGTTTTTTTCAAACAGATAAACAAGTCAGACAGTCTAATGTAGCTGTTCGTGTTTCATGCAATATTGCATTTAATTTTGTACTGTTATAAATCACGACGTATATAAAACGTAAAATACTTTTCATTTTTGATACACAAAATGTATTACTTGACTCAGCCGGGATTACAATTGAGTTATCAGCTATCTATCCATCGTTTTCCATTTTTCCTTTACAATATATTGTAGTATAATATCTTTGATAAAATAATTAGTTCATCCGTTATAAAACCTTTGAACAAACAGATTAAAGGAACCACTTTTCAAGATTCAAAATTTCAATTTCTTATACGTTTTGTCGTTTTTGTAAGTGGTTATACAATATACAATAAAATTCCTGTGTCAGGCCATTTTTGAAATTCTAATATTTTTGAAACCCTTTCTCATTGCATATCTAGAATATTGGAGGAAACACTATTCAACATTTCAATTTCATAGGTGCATATTGAAGTTTTTGTGTATTTTGATTTTACATAATATATTTTGTATAATATATAATTAAGAATGTGTAATCGAGATTATATTATTAAACATTTCATTAAATTCTAAAAATATTGGAGTACAAATGCAGCCAAGTGGTAAAGTATAGATAAACATTATTTCCATAGCACATAATGGTATGCTAACGTTAAATATTGAGTTATCAATGTAGTTGGATTGGAAAACAACAGCTTGGACTTATTCCAATTCGATAACAGAATTTTGCTATGTTTTGTGGATGATTTAAGCTCTAAAGTTAGTTTTTAATTATTTTGGCATAAATATTTTTTTTTCTTAATATTTCAATTAGTATACTTAAACACAAATCATATTTATATTCGAAGTTAAATACGACAATAATGGAACTTTAAAGCTATTATTTCATAAACTTATGAAATATTAAAACATTCAAAATTTCATTTCGAATACTATATGACGGTAAGTCAATGTTTGTTATATTTTTTTAAATATAACTTTAAATTCTGTTGACAGTTAGTAGTTAACTTCAATAATGTACATTTCAAAAAACCTATACTAACTGTAACTATCTATCTTGTTTAAAAGTAAAAATACAAACAAACTTTTCACAATGTTTACACAAACATTTCAGAAAATTAAGTAAGTTTCTCAGTTTTTAATATTATTAATATGACACAATTATTTATTTATTTTAACCAAAATTAAAACTTTGTTTCAGGGCTTAGGTTAATATTTAAATATACAGAGGTTTTTAATAGCATATTTATTAATAACAATACAAATATGTAAAACAAACAACTACAAAAATATAAACGATTCAACAATAATTTGACTGAAGTAAAATATATAAAAATTAAATTTAAATTTTCTTCAATTGGTCTATGTACCTATGTTTATTTTCTATAAATCAATTGACATGGAATTTGAAGCATGTGACTTATTAGTTACCATGTATTATTAAAGTTAATAATAATAACTACTAATTAAATATGATTATTAATTTTAAATTTTTGACTAATATGAATAATAATAAATTATAATTAATAATTAATAATATTTCAAGAAAATTACATGGCGGCGAATTAAATAGGCAATTTTAATACTTAACTGTATTGTAGTTTATAAATTCCATATTCCATCACGCCACACTTACTTAAATCCTGAAAAATACCTTATGTAGAACTCAATGGTTAGTCTGTCTTAAAAATAACTTTAAGTATGAATGTATAATCAATATGTGTATACAACTATACAGCAATAAAATATAATATTGTAAGAAGGTACAATAGGTAAATTATACATTTAAACGAAATTAAATAATACAAAGTTAGGGTAAAATTTTCAATTAAAAAATACTTGTGCTTTTTGAGTAAGGAATAGTATAAAATGAACTCTATACAATCTAAATATATCAATTTAAGTTATAAAACAATTAAAAATAACAAAAAGTACCGTAAGTTAACGAATAAATTAAAATTAATAATAACAACACTTAGTCAACAATGCATTTTATGTGAAATGACATTTTCAAAACTTAATAAATTATAATTAACTGTTCTCAATTTTACTAAAAATACATAAGTAGTGACGTAAACCAAAAACGTAATTTACAGATAGAAATTTCAAAAGTTAATAATCGAACAATTAAAATGATTTAATTATTACAGTTATTGAAAAATATTATAACATACAATTCTGTTATGTTCTTATCATAATATTACATTATATTTTTATGACATATTGATTAAATCTTATAAAAACTAAAATTAATTAATAATATAATTGGTGTGTATAGAATAATAATATAGATAGTTACTAATAATTAAAATACTCGTGAGGATGATAGAAAATCAGATTTGAAGTAGATTATTTTAATCAAGTATTGAAGAAAATTACACTTTTATATCTTAAATAATATATTTAAAATAATAAATTAAAGGAACTTAAAAGACTTGTCTCATGACTCTTGTCTGATGAAATTTGCGTAATTACCTAATAAATTATATGGAAAAACTATTTCACACGAAAAATTATCATTTAAGCTTCAACCATAATTTGTTAAGAAACCAAATTCATACACGATAAAAAGGATAATAGTATTACATTATATTTCGTAGTGTTTTAATTATTTTGATGATGAATACAAAAAAAGCTATTGAAGATGTGTTATTTTAATGTTTATCAAAAATAAAATAACTATTCTGAATTAGTATTATCAACAAAAAAATGACTACTCACCTAAAATACATCATTACAAATATTGGAATCTGTCAAGTATAAATTGTATTTTTCAACTATGGGACTTTTTTATATAAACTCAACATTTTTCGTTTGAAACGGTTTTCACAAACATTTTATGATGGGTGTTAGGCGCCCTTTTAACAGTGAACTTAGGTATAGTAATATAAAGAACAGAATGAATGAGTTGAGTTTGATTACAGCTTAAGTTTAATCGGAAGAATTTTTTTTAATAAGCTTGTAAATTGATTACATTTGATTTACACGTATATAAAGTTTTCACAAATACATAATTAGGTAAAGTTTCTTAATTTTGTACAGGCACACGGCTTACAAACTATGGACTAGATATTGTGGCTGAATTTTTAGTCAAAACTCTAATAAAATATAAGCTAAATAATAGATATTTCATAAATTGTTTTGTTTAATGGTCATTGCTTATACCTATAATTAGATTAAGGTGGTTCTTCAAAACGTCATGCATTTCAATTTTGACAAAAAGACTGCTGAAAATAACGAAACAAAAAAATACATATTAAACAATATTATAATAATGTAAGATTCATATAGGTTTTTATACATATCAAGTATTCAATATTACAATATACAATTGTATATTATATTTGTATATATTTTATTTAAATAAATATATATAATACAATTTAATATAATATGACATACCTATAATACTATATTGGTAAGCATTTTATTTAATCTTAATTCAGTAAAAAAAAATAAAATCAATAATGTAAATATAAGAATAGGATGCAAATACTGTCCAGAAGAGTATTAGATGGAACTAACTCTCAATTTAATCACTTCGGCATGAAATGGACACCTCAGTAAAAAATGCTCTGCTTTGATTTTCGTTATTAGTCGTTTTTACTGTCGCATCAACTCACAAGATATAAAAAAAACAAACTAAATAATCAAAAGTTACCTTTTCAGTGCATTATCAAGAATATAACTTATATCAGTTAACTGCAGGACTGTATGAACATTTTGGAAAACTTGATAATCTGCCAAAAAAAACAAATACATTTGTTTATATTATTCTTTTAAATTTAAATGGCTGTTATTATAAATTTTATAACTATACGTAGATAGTTATGCATGTCAAAAAATACATATTTCAAAATCATTATTTAGGTTTTTCCATAAACAATTAATATTGTGAATAATCAGATAATACAATTAGATTTATGAAAATTCGGTTGACACCCCTTTAAATTGTTTAAATTATAATATAATAGAATACTTAGTGTATTGTTTTATTTTTAAGAGAAAGCCACCTAATATAGGTATAATATATAATATACTTAATATATTAAGCTTAGATACGGTAAATTTTCATAACATTTTAAGAAATATTTAAAATTATAAGTACTAACTCAAAGAAACTTGTAAGTAATATTTCATCATTGCCATTAAGTTATTGCATAGTTACGAACCAGTATGGGTTCCGTTCGAGAAAGAACTGAGAAAGCTATAGTTATAAATAAGAAATCAAATACTCACAATGATAACATTTTTCATGATATCAAACAAATCAAAAATATATTAAGAAGCTACAAAGTTATTACTCTTCTATCATGGGAAAAATTTTGTTTTTTTTTCACACGAACATTTTTTTAACTAACTATGACTAGCCTGTGAGTTTCTCACTTATGCTAAATAGCTTTCAACTCAAAATTTATGAATGTGTAGCACACCGTCCAAATATTACAAATATCAAACTTAACTCTTTATGTTTGTACGAGTATATGCTTAGTTCAATATATTAAATAATATCATGCATATACAAATGTTCATTTATTAAAAGTGCTTTGCTAATTGCTGATAACTAAATTGCCTATAGAAAGCATTTTCTAAAGTCATTGAACAATAAATTCTCTGTTTGTGTGTGATATATATCAATTAAACTTCAAGGTATATGAAAAATAAATTATAAAACGAATACAACAAATAAGTATACAATCGTTTATAATACACCACATTATATAGAATGTAGATATACTACTCAAAAAATAAGATAAGCAAATTGCTGTTTGGTGTTAAACCATGAAAAGTATTTATTTACAAAAAACTAAGATGATATTGATGACAATAGTATACATAGTAAAAAAATACACACTTAACACTCGTGAGATTGCGTGTAAGCGTATATAGTTACGAAAATGTGTTAAGACTTAAAACAGTCTCCGAAGTCGTGAATGATGATGTTGGCGTTTCATGCGCTTCAACGTTGAGTGATTAGGGACGTTGATTTAGTATGCTGGTTTGTATGGTGCTGGGGCGGGCTTGTAGGCCGGGGCCGGTGCAGAGTAGGCAGGTGCGGGGTATCCACCTTCCTTCTTGACTTCGGCGTTGAAACCGTTGTAGTCATCGGCGGTGTATTCCACGGTGCGCTTGCTGCCGTCTGGTTCGACCAAGCTGTAGGAGCCCTTGACGTAACCGTTGGCGTCAGCGTATTCGTTTTGGCTCTTGATGTCACCGGTGTAGGTGTCGTGCACGCTGTAGTCGAAGTTGTACGGAGACGGAGCAGAGTAGGCTGGCTCTGGGGCGTACGGTTTCGGGGCGGCGTATGAAGCTGGCTTGTAGGCCGGTGCTGCTGAGTAGGCTGGTGCCGCTGGGTATGCTGGTGCCGCTGGGTAGGCTGGTGCCGCTGGGTAGGCTGGGGCAGATGGGTAGGCTGGGGCAGATGGGTATGCTGGTGCTGGGTAAGCTGGGGCGGCCGGGTAGGCTGGGGCTGGGTAAGCTGGGGCAGCTGGGTAAGATGGGTAGGAAGGTTCCTTGTAGACGGCCAGGGCGGTGGCAACGGCGCAAGCCGCGAAGATGATCAACTGAAAACAAAAATTAAAAAACGCTTGTTAAAAAAAACGGTCAATCTTCACAATAACCGTTCAGCCTGTCTATGAGACGGTGTGGTATTTCGAGCCAAAATCGTAGAGACCTCGTGTGTTGATGTGTGTGTGTGAGAGAGAGAGAAAGAGAGAAAGAAAGAGAGAAAGGGTTAACCGTCGGCGGCCCGTATAAGGACTGCACAGCCGATCGCCGGAGGATATATGCAATGGGAGTTGAAGAGTGCGACCTTGTTAGAAGAGCTCGTTTGTCGATCGTCGGCAAGTAAAAGTTATGAAAACTGGTCTGCCCGGCGGCAATCGCGGTGCGCCCAAGTGTTGTTATTACGTGTGCACGCGATTACGCAAATCGGGTGATGTTGACCGGCAGCTGGTGTAGTTGCACGCACACTTTCTGCTGTTTTTCTTATTAGATCAAATAACGGTAATACAATAGTTTGCTGTATAGTTAGGCTCGAGTGGATGACAGTAACAATGAAAAATATAAGTTTTCTTGGAATGACACTGAAGGATACCGTCAAGCTTTGACGATAAGTTATTAAGATGAATAGTTATTAATTATAATAATAATAATACAAATGTACACTTACTTTGGCGGACATTTTGTGTGTGTGTTGTCGAGTGATAGTTACTGCAGCACTGTTTGTTGTGTTGGTCGTTGATGACTGTGGTTGATCGGTTGGTCTACGCTGGTATATATACTCGCCATCGAGTGAACAGTTGCCAAGCTTGCCCTAACTTGGGGGGGCAACGGCAATCGCCACCGAAGCGTGGTGGGTCAACGCGTTTGTAGACACAACAGTCATGCCATGTATGCGAGGGCGTATGCACCCAAGGGGGTCACCGGGTTGACCGATTTCCCCCTCAGACAAAAGGGGCCCGGCATATTGTTACGCCATGTCTCCTCGTAATACCGCCTGATAATGTTATAATCGGTATAGTATTTAAATGTTTTCCTATGCGAAATTAATCTAAGCGATGAAAACACGATGAGTTAGTAGGACCGGCTCTACGGGCTGGTACTTATTGAACTAGGTCATTATTAGAATATTGATAAATATAATATTCATTTTTTATTAAAGTATACTATATCATTCCACATTTACAATTATACATACAATGATACAATTAATAATTCGTGGATGAAAATTTGTAGAGTTTATATTTAACGTATTTTTGAATTAACACAACATTTAAACAAGTTTGTTTTTCTATAAAAATAAACTTTAGGTATAATCCAATATAAAACAAACATTATACTTTTCAACTTGTCAAAAAACTCATTCATAACTTACTATATTTGACTACCAAGGTAGGTATAATGAGCATCTATATAATTTTCTCGATACCTGTTGTTCATAATGATTTCCAATTTAGTAACTTTACGCTTTTTGTGAAAATAAGACACTATGATGGTTCCACATAATTATATTATATATTTATATACTTACCTACATTTTACTGAGTTGATTTTTGTCAATCTTAGTAGGATATGCGTTGATATGTCGATATACTTATGTACAGTGAGGATTACTATCATATCATACATTCATGCAATAAGATGTTATAAAAAGTTTGGTGTTCTGATTTTTCGAGTAAAAACAGAAGATGTATCCAGTTTTCAGAGAGACCGAGACTGTGTGGATATTTCCGGTATGCAAATGACTTAATACTACATTTCAAGTGTGTGTAATAGTATAATTGTTCTACGTAAGCATAAATCTGTAGATAGATAACCACCATCATTATTAGCAAGGAGTTAAAATTATGTGCAACCTACTTACTTAAATTACTAAGTTATAAAACCGGATAATACGACTATCTTACAACTTCGAAAGGGTTTAATAAATAATATTAAGGAATTGTGTAGAAAATTTTATAGTTGATGGAAAAGGAGAGCAAAAAAAAAATGTCTGATGAACAACGACAATACGTCACAGCCTAAAGTGAATCCTGTCAGCAACTAACAACGCCATACATTTTATCTGTAAATAAAAAAAAAACAGGTGTAATTGTATTCTACAGTCCCGAAATGACAACAATTATTTGTTGGTAATCATTTTCAATCATTTCAAAACGTATAACAAGAATGCAACCAAATTAGGATTCGACACTAAAACTGGTATTATAAAAGAATGTTAGTGCATTATTTGTTTTATCTTTTTGACCCAAGCGCAGCATACACAATTTGCGTTCAACAGAACGAACGTAGTGAGCTTTAATACTATAATAAATTAACCTAATATTGGTCATTATCAAAACTTCCCACCTTTAACTAATAACTATGAAAATTATCTGTGTCGGAAAAAAACCAAATTACAAATTCAGATAATATTTTTGACATTCAATTTGAAAATAGGTCAATTCACTCTAATACTTAAACATTAAACCTATTAACACAACGTTGGTTATTAATAATATTAAAAAAATGGTGTTAAACAGAGAGAAACAAAATAATGCTCTGATATATTTTTAAAAGATTCTCTGGTCCACTTGTACAAAACGTATGTAGAGTTATTCATTTAGATGCCCTTCATTTTAATTGTATTATACTCGTACACTCGTCCATTGTACTCTGTAGGGATAGATATTAAATCTTACGCTTCTACGACCGTTACATTGCAGATGTTTAGAATTTATTCTATTTACTATTTACACATTATAATAATGTGCGTGTAAAATTTAACATATGTGATAAATCCAAGTTATTCCTCGGAAAAATAGTCTAGTACTGTATAACAATTTTTAGAAAATGGTATACACAATATGTATTTACATATTATTATTATAATAAGTATAATATACATTTGATATAATATAATAATATACAATATCAAGTTAAAAATGTGTGTTATAGTTGCGTTATATTGTATGGTCCGATGATTCCGTAGAATTCAAATGGTTATAGGGATATCACAAAAAATGAAGTGTAAAAAGAGGTTGAGTATGCTTTGAAAAACACCTTTTATATATGTATATAGATAATAATATTGATACATTTCAGACAGATTCTGTGTATAAAAATTGATATCAGTTTCGGTAGTAGGCAGTCACCACTGTCAAATGAATCATAAAAGTTAATTTGTAAGTGTAAAAAAACTCAACAATAGAAAATAATATATTATTACTACATTTATTTCAATGATTAATACTATAATAGCAATTACCTAACATAGGTAGTAAGCAATTTTAATTTATTTTAAATGTAATTAATTTAATTCTATATGTAAACATTAATATCTAATGAGTAGATCAGTGGTTTTCAACTAGTGTGTCACATCATGATTTATAATCATTTAATCATTAGATAATAATCACACATCATAATAAAGGTTGAACAATATTTGTTTTATTATTTTAGTATTTAAATTAAATATAATCATTCTAAAATAACGAGATATGACATTATAAAAAAGGACCCTTACATCCCACCCTAAATCTCTCACATTTATATATTTGATCAATTCACTTTATATTTGAGGTTTTTTTTGTCAGGGTGGTTACTAGTTAGTAGTTACTAGTTACTAGTTTGTGGTTAGATAATATTATATTATTATCAATCCCTTTTGAATGAACGGCAAATAAAATAGGCAATTTTACTACTTTCCTGTGTTGTTCCTTGTTGGTTAAACAAAATAAATTAATTTTAGCAATCAGAAAATTATTAAGTTTAAAATATAAGAGTGAAGTAATAGTAATAGTATAGAAAAATTATTAAAAAAATAAAATAATAAACTCGGTTATGTTGTTGAAAAAAAGGAAATAATATAATAAAAAAATTAATTGGATTAAAATCGACTTGATGTAACAACTAAGATAGGTTGTAAATATGTTAATAATAAAAATATTATAATAATAATCGATGTCTGGAAAACATAAAAAATAAAAATTATTACAGAAGAGATATTAAATATAATCTCAATTTAAAGATTTAATGAAAAAAGTATTCAAATATACAACTAATTGAAATTTTAATTTTCATACTAAACGATACATTTTTCAATTTTTAAAAAATATTAATGACATTCAAAAAAAATTTACTAGTTAATATTTTAATAAAACTAGCCACATATATTTTATATTACTATTGTGAGGTTTAAAATAACTTTATATAATAAATACAAATTTTAATTATTTTAAGATAATGAGTTTGATTAAATTAAATTTGCTAATTTAAAGGTCATAATCCTTACAGAAACATATAATCAATAATTTCTTAATTCATTTTTTTTTTTGTGGCAAAACGAAATGAGGCAATTTAAATATAGGTAATTTGGTGGTGCAAAATAAAATCACACCCAATTCCAAGAGAAATTTGCAAAATCGTGCAAATTATACATTCAAACACAAGACTTTTTTTGTACGTGATAGTTTAAATGTAATAAAATATAATATATATTTATCGCAATGGTTGGTGAAACAAAAACAAAAAAACATGATTTAAAGCCGTATAATTTTATGTGGGTATAATATGTGTATTTTTTTGTTTCTGTAAAAATAGTTTTAGGAAAACAAAAGTAAACACATTTATTTGAACACCAATATCGTTTCCCTCTACCTACTTGGAATACTGTATTATGTATTTATATGTATATCACAAATGCAATGTAAACATATCATGTTAAACAATATTATAATGATTTACTTCGAATGAACTTTCATAACAACTCGGGACATGCGTGAAGAATGATTTTATCATAAAACACATAAGTCCTATGTGTGTGCTATTAATAAATATATATTTACTTTTGAGTATTGTTTTGTTTTACCTGCATCACATGTTTAACGTTCATTATTGTATTACATATACATAATATATTCATAATATATTATATTAATAACTCGTGTATGAACAAATACAAAATACATTCACTTTTCCGTATTTTGTTTATCACGGTATATACGAAGTGTATATAATGTATAAATATATATGTATAGACGGTGGTTGCACGTACCCACCTACGTACTTTTTCAATTTTAACAACGCGTATTGTATTTTCTTTATTATTAAGAACTCTGAAACGTTCATGTTTTTTTATTATGAAAATGGGAAACGAAATCATACATTAAGTTGCTATTTTTTTTTCCTGACAAAAATACAATGAATAGTAAATCGCATTACGTTAACTTGATAAGTTGATGAATATAACGACATAAAATATGATTTAAATTTGTATTTGGATAAAGTACTGAAGTGAGTGTAGTGCCTGGAACGTAATTCTCAGAATTGAACTAAATATTCAAATAAAGAATATAACCATGTGCCCATGCACAGTAAACACTAAACATACATTAAAAAAAATGTCCACACTGCGTTTTATATAATTTTGACGCTAAACAAAACGTAAAAGAAGAATCATATTGATAGTTTGTTATGATTAATAAGTAATAACATTAATATATTATAAATACAATTAATGAAAATGTATCGATAATATTCCTGAGAAATATTTAGGCAGGTAGTAACTTATTGTGGGTCATATTATATCATAATGGATTATTTGCAAAGTATACATTTTTATTTTTGGATCGTGCATGTTCACCATGGATTGTGCACGGACATACCATAAACCATATTAGTACTTCATACAATGTAATATTATAATATCCCATGTACGATGTACTACTCGTGTGGCCACATGGGCCGGTTGCCTTGAGGAGCAAAACGCATTTGCTCGTCTACATGCAGGTAGGTACTGCGTAGAAAATGGAAAGTCGTATCTAATGAATTTCTCATTATAAAATGTAGGTATGGTAACGATTTATAGTAACATAAAAAATAGTGAACAATTCTTTATGTGTTACGACATGGATGACGTTTATTTACAAAAAAACAAGATGAAACCGATGACAATAGTGAATACACAAATATATATATATATATATAAAACACACGCATGAGATAACGTGTATTAAACAGCTACGAAAATGTACCGAGACTTAAAACAGTCTTCTAAGTCGTCAATGATGATGTCGGCGTTTGAGATGCAACGTTTGTGAATTGAGACGGTGGTGTTATTAGTATGCTGGTTTGTATGGTGCTGGGGCGGGCTTGTAGGCCGGGGCCGGTGCAGAGTAGGCAGGTGCGGGGTATCCACCTTCCTTCTTGACTTCGGCGTTGAAACCGTTGTAGTCATCGGCGGTGTATTCCACGGTGCGCTTGCTGCCGTCTGGTTCGACCAAGCTGTAGGAGCCCTTGACGTAACCGTTGGCGTCAGCGTATTCGTTTTGGCTCTTGATGTCACCGGTGTAGGTGTCGTGCACGCTGTAGTCGAAGTTGTACGGAGACGGAGCAGAGTAGGCTGGCTCTGGGGCGTACGGTTTCGGGGCGGCGTATGAAGCTGGCTTGTAGGCCGGTGCTGCTGAGTAGGCTGGTGCCGCTGGGTATGCTGGTGCCGCTGGGTAGGCTGGTGCCGCTGGGTAGGCTGGGGCAGATGGGTAGGCTGGGGCAGATGGGTATGCTGGTGCTGGGTAAGCTGGGGCGGCCGGGTAGGCTGGGGCTGGGTAAGCTGGGGCAGCTGGGTAAGATGGGTAGGAAGGTTCCTTGTAGACGGCCAGGGCGGTGGCAACGGCGCAAGCCGCGAAGATGATCAACTGAAAACAAAAATCAAAAACGTTTATTAGCATAATGTGATCGATCTTCGCTAAAACCGTTCGACCCGTCTATGGGACGATGTATAGTGTTTTCGCACCGATTTCGAAGTGTGCGTGAGTGAGATAGAGAAAGGGTTAAGCGTCGGCCGCGGCGATCCGTATAAGGATAATACGCACGTTCGGAGGAGGATTTATCGGAGTTTGCGTGTACGACCTTGTTCGAAGAGGTAGTCGTGACGACGATGACGATACCTATTACTATTATTATTATGTTCCGTCCGTCGGCCCGTCGGCGAGTAAAAGTAATGGAAACCGGTCGATAGCGGTGCGCCCAAGTGTTGTATTGTTACGTATGCGCATGCACGATCACACTGGTTGAGCAACGTTGACCGTTCGCCGTGGCACGCTCCCTTTAATCCGCGTGTTTTTTATCAATCCTAACGAGATCCATGTGTGTTCCCCCTCCCACAACTGGTCGCTGATCGCCCGTTACAAATTACGGCCAACTTAACCGTTGATCGTCCCTCACGGTTTTGGAACATTAAAAGATTGCAGTGATTGCTTTACGGCTAACACAACTCTTTGTTGCGAGAGTTCTTATTGAAAATTGACATTTATTCCTAGTTGAATTTGATACGCAAAATATCACCTAGTAGAAATGATTTGAAAACTTAAGTCGGGGGAATTATAACGAGAATAATTGTTCTCAATGAATGAAGTAATCGCGACGACAGACTGTTGAATTTTATTCTGTTTTTGAGACATAGACTTATACCCGAACCGTGGTGTGTGCACTCGCCGTACTACCAACGATAATAATATAAAATTACACTTACTTTGGCGGACATTTTGTATTGGAGTTGTCGAGCTGCCGTTATTGTAGTACTCGTAGTGTGGATTGTAGTTGACTGTGGTTGATCGGATGGTCCTCGCTGGTATATATACACACGACCGAGTATTGCGATACTTGCCCTGTCCTGGGGGGGCAACGGCGTGCGCCCGCGCGAGTGGACAACAAACACGCGAGGGCGTGAGCGCCCAAGGGGGTCACCGGGTCGTCCGGTTTCCCCCTCAGGTAATGGGCACCAACATGTTGCTCCACCGAGATAGGTACTGTACGCGCAACACAATCATTTTATCCTCTCAGAGTCGACGTAATAGACGAAAAGGAGAAGAAAACTGTATACTCGTATAGTAATAATAATACCGTGAAATGAAGACGCGGTATGTTCGCTGTAATTTAACCCGAATAAAAGTGTTGAAGGTCTCCACGATACATTTAATCGATCAAAAGACCTACGATTCGGTGGGCATATTATGCTCTGATATCCAATTTAGAATATTATGGTTGTATAACACAATGCTTACTGCATTTCTCGAGTTGTTAAATACTATTATAAAAAATGTTGCACATATTTGTCTCTAAAACGGTGATTGGATATTATATTCCACCATGGTGTTGAATTATTGGTGATTTTTAAATATATTTTTAATCCAAGTTCAAGCTTTCTAGATTAAGGGTTTAATATATATTTTTCGAAAATATTTGTTTCGAATATTTATATTATTTTTATCTACCACATGTATTATTAAGTATTATACTTTCAACGGTCAACAACAAATCAAAATACCTATTCGAAATTGATATTATTTTGGATGATGTAGAAAATAACTCATAACATTATTATATTATAAAATACGTGCATAATTATTGTCAAGCTGCCATAGTTACTGACTAAAAGCTAATTAATAAATAATAATAAAAAAATGATAACATCTACATGTCAAAGAACTCATTATTTTTTTTCTTTTATGAATTAATAAGGTAGTTCTGATTATATAGAACGAAGAAAATATATTTTTCTGTTATAAACATCATGCTGGTTTGCTTTATGTAAAGAGATTGAATTTTTTTTTCGTAAATTAAAGAAACGAATAGTAGTCTAAAAAATAATATTTATTTAATACAAAAAAAACATTTACCAATTAATTACTATAATATTATAATAAGTGTAATAATTAAAAGTGATGAATGTTATAGTAGAATATTTTGAATTTCTATTACTATTATTTTATTTTTAAATGTCGATGTGTATGAAATTAATAAGAGCATGTTTTATAATATTATGTACATTGTATATACATAATATTTCACTCACTCTCGAAATATAAACCGTTTCTAGATTTAGTACTTAATAGTTATATAACTTCGTGACACACCCAGATTTAAGGTTTCTTAGATTGCAATATACGTCTATAGGTACTATACATTTATTTTAAATTTCATTTTACACTAGGAAATTGTTACATTAAAATAAAAAATAAAATTAATTGTTTGCATTATATACATAATAAAATGTATATCGTAATTAACGTAATTACTTAGTCTAATACAATTCATAATATCTGAATTTCATACTAAAATATTGATGCAATTTAGTAGCTCTGTATAGTCAACTATAACATTCAATATTGGTTTTCATATAAAACGTTTAACTAATTTTAAAACACGAAAAATCGATTAGTACGCAAAAATTAAAAATAGAGAACGATAATTTTATTATTAAAATGTCTAATAAAGATGAGACTTTTTAGCATATATATTTTATGTGTATATTTTAATAGTACAACTGTATAAAATATGACTGTGAGCACATTTTGACTACAACTCAACATAAAACTGTTGCATCTCTTTTTCCGTGCAGGTATATTAAAAATAAATTAAATTTTAATTAATCGCTATAACACACATAGCTATTATATTATAGTGTACGAAAACAATCGTAATTTACGGCAATACTCTGTAACTATTTAGTGATTACCAGAAAATAGTAGTTCGTTGTTATTTAATCTGCTATATTATATTCATAAACTGTAGTAATATATCATTATTATGTTTCTAAGACAATCGAAAGTTATTACTATTATTATGTATTAAAATATAACTTGTATGAAGTAGGTACCTACCTAACTTTTTATACATTTTAAATTCATATTATACTTCATGACACATAAAATATCGAATTAAAATTAAAATACAACGATTGGTACCTACATAATGAATCTCAACGTATTCGTATATGCTTTTTGAAGTACAAGGTGTACATGATGAGTTTGAGAGTAAAGGGGTCGGAGATCAATGATATTGTGGGACGATGTAGACAAGGCTGAATTTAATGAACTTTTACAGTATACGTTTAATCGTCGGGAGTAAGAAAACTGTTCAGAACTCGTATACCAATTATATATTATGGCGAACTATATTGTAAAGGAACGCGATACCGACGCCAATCCGTCTATTATTAAAATTGATTTCTTCATTAATACGAAATGATTATTTCGATTTCGTAACGGACGTATTAATATTTTAATTTATTTAACTATAATCTTACACTGCGAAGTTCTCGTATATTTACTACACCATGAAATATTGCATTTGATTTAACAGCTTGTCAAATGTACAACTTATTTTCGATTGGTTTTATATAACATCCACTAAGAGAGGCGTATGTTATCATTGCTGAGGTTCTACTCATAATTAAATACGTCAATTATCAACTGTTAATTGTATGGTAAATAATAAAAACAAATTCAACAAAGAAAAATAATCGATTAAGTAATAATCGTCCGGGTGAGGGGGGAGGCAACATTGGTGGATAAATACATATTGTATACGACGTAGTCCAACTATACTAGTATAACCTATCTTTTTAAAACGAGAGATAGAAAGATGTTCAACAATAAACATAACAACATTTTTAGTAGAAGATAGCAAAAGACTGCAGAAGACGTGTGAACTACCTCTGTTTAACGTGTTGACACTTATTATAGCAATCTATAGCAAGGTATGGGGGACCCCCCAGTTATGCATATGTATATACTACCTATGGTCTGATTAATATTATTGTAATTACTATTATTTTTATAAGTATCGAAAATTTCGAGAAAAAAAAATAACAATAAATCCGAAAATCGAAATATTGTTATAATATGTTAGTCTGGCCATCGATCAAGTCTAGATATTATATTATTTCATGACGTATACGGTAAACAGTTGACTAACTATAATGTAATAATTATTGCTTATGCGTTGGCGGGGAACAAAATTTTTTCGCAATGATCAGAATTCAAAAACACTTCGGTTTCCGGTTAAAAGAGTAGATTTTTCGATTTCATTCGATAATGAGCGGATCCACCACGACGTAATTGCTAATGCTTTGGGAGCGTCACTGAGCGACGTACCTATAAACTTACTGAGCACTCATTTATGACGACACTATATACTAGGCGTTCCAGACAAAGTATATTTACTTTGTATGTAAAATAGTTATAATTACGTTATTTGTATTGTCTCATTAATCATTTACGCCATTGATTAATAATACACGCCATGAGATGCCGCATGTATGCCATGTATGTAGGTCGTAAAAATCAATCGGGTTTTCGTTTTCTTATAGAATGTAAATTCAATATGTTTTAACAATTTTGTTTTGCAATATAAATTCGATTTACCTTTATCTGCCTACGACCACTTTTGAATACCAATTTTTTTTATTTTGAAATTGGCTGAGTATCCATTTCAAATTATTCATACCTGTCTATAATTGATCGATATAATTATCCTTAAAATTATACCACTTGAAATAATATTTATTGCGAATGTATTTTCATTCAAATTCTAAAAACTCATTATGAAGCATTAATAATTATTGATGTATCCCTAGTAACTATTAAAAAAGTAACATATTCAATTTGAATTATTAAATATTTACTTTTATTTTCATTGAAATTTATGAAACTTTCAAAAAATTGTTGTGAAACGAATATTCATATCTTATTCCACTGGCATAATTCTAAATAATATTATGGTTTAATCGTGATCGACAGTTTGCTTTCTGATCAGTCTACAATGATGGTTCGAACAAAGTACACGGCGAATTGTCGCCGAACCCGCCCAACGACCGACAGACGGTCTACGTATTATATTATTTACAATACTGATGAATCGTCGTCATTATGGAGGTGCTCTTTGTTTATTCATATTTTTAAGACCTATGACTTAGGCCGGGGCTATACAGTATTCAATGACCTTTTGTACGTTTCTATATACTTGTTTATATTGCTTACAAGAGGCCTTCGATGGAGTTCTATATTAATTAAAAAATACCATGCAATTTAATTTGATTTCAGTATATAGTAAATAAAAACTTTCTGTTTTTAAAAATACTTAGTTTTTAAAAATGTTTATTCTTATAGTAATTATGATGATGCTATGTTATTAAATATAATGTAGACTTATCAAAACTCTAAACTGTGTTGTACCAGGTTAAGGCTCATTAAAGTTTATTATGTTATGCTGCGAAAAGATTTTTAATAACATCAATTTATAAATGTTTATAAGTACAATGTCAAGTGGCCTAATTAAAAAATGATTCATTGAGATTCACTTTCTGACCAACAGGTCCAACATATTCACATCACTGGCGTGTATAGTTCACCTTGGAAAAGTAACACTATATGACGTAGGCATATTATAAGGTTTCACGAACTTCGCATAGTTATATTATATATAAGGAATACATTTTTGGTTTTACTATAATTTTAATTGGTAAGTAACTCGAAAGTTGCTTTTATGAATAAAAAATATGGTAACAAAAAAATAACACTGAATTATACTTTTTTTTAAACTCATGAATTAAAACGATGTATATAATTTAATGTACACACCACGTTATTTATAAGAGCTTAATATCAAAATTCAACAAACAAATTATTTCTTATTTCCAATTTATAAAAACTATAAGATCCTATAATATGAATCGCGCAATAATAATTATGAACAAACATATTGAATGTTATCTAATAAAGTGATTTGTAAAATAACGTTTTATAAATGTTAAAATGTACGTTAATAATAGTGTGATTTTATTTAATGTCTAAAATCTAAATTATGGTCGTGGATTACTTATCATACAATAATTATTGGTGTCTCTAATGGTATTCTTAAAAGATCATTTATTATGTTTTTTTATTAGGGAAATATTATTAACAGTATTTAGTATAAAATAAAAACTTTGATAAATATTAAGAGTTTTTTATTTATTAATTATGTGTTTGTTTATTTGTTTTACATTTGGTAAGTGGACACTACCCATGCATTTGTGTCTCCATCTTACACAAGTACGACATATAACATTTTCATTCACTAGTTTCAATAGTGTACTGTTAGTTTTGATATCCGAGTGAACTGACCTACTATCAACATTTTAGGTAAGAACATAGAGGTTAAGCGTCGGTGCATTTTTGGATATTATAATTTTCAAGCGAGATATGAGCTTTTATGATTTGTGTTATTTCACATACTCGTGTGTTGCTTGAAAATGAAAACATCGAAAATCCACCGACGCTCAAGCATGGTCAATGTTCTTACCTAAAAGTTTTATAATACTTAAATTCACTCTAATATCAAATTGAATTGCACTCTATTCAAACTAGTGAACAACAATTTGGTATGTCGTAATTGGTAATACGGAGACAATAAACGCGTGGGTAGCATGTTCTTAAGAATTATTGAAAAAAAATTAAAGTTACAATTATAAATATTGAAAGAATTAAAAGTAAACAATCGTTTTAATTTCAAAAAAAAGTAATGAATAACATAGGTGTATGCAACATTTATTTATGTTAATTATATTATGAGTTTTAAATTTAATTAAAGTCTCAATTTCATGTAATATTCTGTAGTGATTCCTACACTCGAAAACATAGATGATGAGCTTAATAATTTATGTTTTTTTTTTAACTTTGTAGGCATTAATTAAACTTATTTTAATTATCTTAAGCGTTAATTATTTATATTTTATTTCATATATCATATGAATAGCATCTGACTATAATTTGTATATTATGTAGTACAATATATATACATAATATATATTCCATAGATCAATTACAAAAACCACATAGTGTTTCATCTTGGTGCTTGAAGTAAAAGCAATAAATCGCATACTACAGTCCATTAGTCACAATGAAATTCGCATATGTTAACCGTCGAACAAACCATAAGTGCTGTCGTCTATTATACAGTAATTTATTTGAACGGTTTTCAATAAAGTAAACTGAAAACGATACTTTGTATCCATCAAATAAATAAGAATTGACCACACGTTACAATTTATAAAATGCTATATTATTTTTTCAAAAACAACAAAGAAAAATTAACCAAAAATACTAATCACCATATTTACAACCAAATGTAATTTGGAGATTTAGGAGGCATCTACCTACTGTATAAAAATAAATAGTTACATTTTTATTTTAAAATAGAAGTCTTTTTTCATACACTCGTATTAAAATATGAGCCAACACAATTAACACAATGTTGAGTAATTTATTAATATTTTTCAATTTACTTTAAAAAGTATTTTCTACAAATAAAAATATATTATATTTCTTATGATACATTATCATTTATAAACTTTAACACAATATGTGTGATTAAATTGAATTTTTTTCTATAATACACTGACTTTAAACATCCTATGAGACGGTATTCAATAATAGTATGTCTATAAATTGTACATACTTAAACTAGTTTTTAATTATTTGAATAAAATATTTCACAATCAAAATTATGAAAACGAAAAAGTTAATGCCATTAATTTAGAAATATATTTTTTGATAAGTTTAAATTAATGGTTAGACTAAAATTCATTATACAATTGCTTTATTTTAATCACGTATATCTACATGACTAGATAAGACTTAATATGCCTACCTACTGTTGTGTTGTGAACATGTTGTCACTGTACTTAACACCAACAATATTGGGAATAAAAGTGAAATGTTTTTTAATTCTTTAGTCAGAGTGGTCAGGATAATTAGGAAATAAAAAATATTTAATTATATTCAAACACTGAGTTATAGACGAATTGAAATTTTATTTACATAAAAATACAATAAATTATAATAATCGTTTCTTAGAATTAAAGAGGAATTAGTACTGTTTGTACGGGGAAGGTTTGTATGCTGGGGCGGCGTACGATGGCTTGTAGGCTGGGGCGGGGGTAGAGTATCCGTAGGCTGGAGCTGGGGTGGAGTATCCGTAAGCCGGAGCTGGTGTGGAGTATCCGTATGCTGGAGCAGCTGGGTAGGACTCAGTTGGGTAAGCTGGGGCAGCTGGGTATGCTGGTGCAGCTGGGTAGGCTGGTGCAGAGTATGCTGGTGCGGAGTAAGCCGGTGCGGAGTAAGCTGGCTTGTAGGCTGGTGCAGAGTAAGCCGGTGCGGAGTAAGCTGGCTTGTAGGCTGGTGCAGCTGGGTAAGCTGGGGCAGCAGAGTATGCTGGGGCAGCTGGGTAAGCTGGGGCAGCAGAGTATGCTGGAGCAGCTGGGTAAGCCGGGGCAGCTGGGTAAGCTGGGGCTGATGGATAAGCTGGGGCAGCTGGGTAAGCTGGAGCCTTGTAGGCTGGTTTGTAGGCTGGGGCAGAGCTGTAAGATGGGGTTCCTTCTTTCTTCACTTCAGCGTTGAATCCGTTGACATCATCAGCGGTGTATTCGACGATTCTCTTGGTGCCATCGGCTTCGACCAAGCTGTAAGATCCCTTTACGTAACCGTTTCCGTCGCTGTATTCGGATTGGCTCTTGATGTCGTAGGTGGAGTCATCGTGCACGCTGTAGTCGAAGTTGTATGGGGCTGGGGCGTATGCGGGTTCTGGGGCGTATGCCTTGGGTGCGGAGTATGAGGCAGGCTTGTAGGCAGGTGCTGGGTAAGCCGATGGTGCTGGGTAAGCTGATGATGCTGGGTAAGCTGATGGTGCTGGGTAAGCTGATGGTGCTGGGTAGGCAGACGGTGCCGGGTAGGCTGGGGCTACTGGACCGGCAAGTGCGGAAACCAACACACAGGCGAAGACGGCGATAGTCTAAATAAAAATAAAACTACGAGTTTAGAGTAGTTCTAATGAGTATGTCACTGATATTATCACACACTATCAACTATTATATCGGTGTTACTATCATAATAACTGTGATTATTAAGTCCATATTATAATATCTTTGAATTAAAACTTATTGTATGGCAAACTTCTAAATTGGTTTTATTTCTATGAAAATTAAATGCTGTTAAGTAATTCTTAATATAGGTAACAATAGTAATATATAATTATGTGTGAACGGAACACAACTAAAAACTCGAATTTTCAAACAAAATATTTAAAGAAAATGGGAAAATAATTATTGTAAAACATTTTTCTCACATATACACAGCAAATGTAAAAAATGCATTCCAGGATTAAATTTAAAGTGTACGAAGCGGTTTTTTTCTTTCATTGATTGCTACAATTTATTAATTTTAAGTTCGTTGTATGTATGTAACTTCAGAGATGTTTTAAAACATTTAATATCATAAAATAACGGAAATATAATGCTAAACTTAAATTTTACTGTAAAATAATAACTTTTAACGAACTATGAAATTGAATATTTTAATTAAAATAAAGCACAAGAATACACCTATCCGCATTTTTTTATGTGAACACTTATTTCTTTAAGTTTGTAAAGTAATAAATTTAAGAAACTAATAAACTTGAATAGAAGTAAACTCGCAATTCGTTTAAACACTATAAACTTCTCGAACTAACATGCCCGATGTTATTTCCGATGAAACGACATGATACCGAAGAAATAAATAAATATTAAACTTTAAGCACTATTTTTAACGCACCGCGAAATTAAACCTCTTTAATATGATACTATATGGTACTTACTTTGAATGCCATTGCGAATAAATATAAGTTTTTTTGTTGTTGTTAAGTGTGTTAATACTGAACGTTGAATGAGTAATGTTGATTGACAAGGAGCCGCTTTATATATTAATCCGAGCGTTGGGTTTGCTCCCTCCGGGGGGCACTGTAGCCGTATGTGGAGGCTGTAGCGAGGGCGTACCCAGTATCATGAACGGCCGAATTGCGTGATCCCGGCGGGGCGTTTGGGGGTTCCCCCGAGCGAAGTTTTACCGAAATAGAACCAGCTATAGCCGGGTTATTACATATTATTGTTATGCACATATCGTTACGGTTCTATTTTTATTTATTTGTTTTCGCGATCGCGATTGAGCTGAATCACCAACTGGTTAGCCAACGACCACGTTACAATATTTCACGTTTCCTATGCTTGAACACTTTCTAAGTTCAAATGAAATAAAAATTTGAACCGCCAAACATAAATTAAAATTTATAATATGGTATTTTTTAGGTTGATGTTTAGGATACAACATTGCACCAAACGAATGACGAATAGTGTTCTAAATCCTAAAAAAGTGGGGGTCAGGTTAGGTGAAGCCGCGATGTCGAAAAGTAAAATCGCTACAGACGTCTATGATACGCGGTCAAGTCACATCCATTTCGTTATTCTTAAAAAATATTTTTAATATGCCATTGGTTATAAAAGATATATCCTATAATAATGAATTTATAATTAGTGACAATACATAGTGTAATGTTTTTTACTTGTCAGTTTTGTGTTTTATTTTTAATTTTTTCAATTTGTATGATAACTTGTTTCGTGTCGTCCAATTAAGATTTCACTGCGTTTATGTTAATCAGACTGGTTATATTAATATGAGGAGTATTTTTAAACTTGTTTATACAGTAGAAACCTAATTATTTTTCGTATTTTTAAATCGTATCGATTATTAATCCATTAATTCCATCATGTTACGTAAAGTTAATACTTTTAATCCAATAGGTAATCAGGACCTATGAGTTTATTTTTATAATAATTATAAAATATACTACTTATTCTAATACGTATAGCCTTGTAATAGTCGTCAGTGGACTCAACTAGGATATACCAGCCGTAGTTAAAGTTATTTTCTCAATATGTGTATCATAAAAAAATATTCTGGTCGCGTATGATGTAGTACAGGCCTAACATTATCGACCTTGACTCTCGATAAGCTCATAAGTAATAAAAACGTGTAGTGGATGAAATTGCCGTAAAATTACTTCGATATCATAAATCATCTTAATTCACACACTTATAAAAATGAGATACATATGTGATCGAGGATGAAATTTATTGGAAATCAGGTGACATCGAGGTAACTCAATATAATGTTCACATCATAAACCATTATTGCGTCACTGACAAATCTCGTAATTAGATAATATAATATGATGAATCCGGATGATGCCAATTTATCATATTTATACTGCTGTCATCTCATTTCTAATAAAATAAAACAGTTTATAGATTTTGAGAATAATTTTTATGGTAAAAATGAGTTAAAATGTGATCATATCAATAAGAATTTGTATTTAATTTAATAAAGCAAATTGACGAAAACGGAATTTAAAACATTTTTTTCTATTCACGTTTATCATTATCATATTATGATCAAATAATATGTAAACTCATCATGTTTGGAACAATTAGTTCGTATATTTTATAATCAACTATATTTTCATTGCGTGATTTGTTAAACATAAAATTAATTTGGCTTTTATGTCGAGTAATTACAATTAAGTATGTATTTTCCATAATAATTAAATTGTTAACCACGTTTACTACCCTACTATTACAATGATAATTATGAAAATTAATAATTAGGCGTCTTTAAACGTCGTTTACATTCCAGTTCCTAGTTACATAGTTTACTTGGAGATTTATTAGACCTTACGGTTTTGATGTATTAAACATTGTTATTCAACTTCATATCCACGATAACGGCATGTCAGTGAATTTTATTTTTATAATACAATTTTGGTCTTATTAGTTATTAAATATATTACGTATATTCCCTCAAGTCAGACGGATGCATACACTTTTCAGGTTGTGACAAGTGGTTACAAGTTGTATAGGCACTTATCAAGCGACACGCCTTTATATAACATTATGTTAAATAATTTGTAACATAATGTAACTAAAACATTTTATACACGTATTTATAGGCCAGGTGTTAAACGACTTTCGAGAATTTTTAAATTCCAATGATCAACTATAAGTATTAAAAAAAATACATAATATGAATTATAGTTTTGTTTTTCTTGAACTTTTAGCTTTCATAGTTAGTATGCAATAATTAATGTATCCATAACTAATTGTAATCCTTTTCTGAAAACGCCGAGACTGCTATTATTTTTACAATCAAGTTTCGGTATTATTATCTACAACTCTACCTACCTAATTCATAAATAAAAACCATTAGTTTTAAAATATGCGAATTCATATCATCATAAGCAGTTATTTAGTTAGGTGAATCGTAATAAGTAAAAACATATAATTACAATTTAATAATAGATTTTTATGTTGAAATTATTATAAAATTTTGAAAAAATTGAAACTTAAAAAAAATACCTATATATAGTGCACTTAACTACTATAATAAGAATTACTTTTGATGTACAGCAATTTATAAATTATGTTTTACACACTTTAGTGACCTACGGCTTTAAATACATTTTTATTAGGGAACCTTTATAAACAGAAATACCTACTTATGTAATAATGCAATTAATAAAATTAAAGTTCTAATAGAGTTTTACTTATCTTATGCATGAAAGTATCTATCAAAAGAAAATGTTGACATATTTTAACTACCAATTTATAATACTATTACCGTTGTATTGGTTAATGTTCACCATTAGTAACTACACAGTGTAAGTATTTTACATTTCCTTATTTCACAAAAATGAATGATTATGACGGGGGCAGGACACCGATGAAACTTCACAGTGTCCAATTTGATATAGGTACTACATTTATTGTAATTTAACTCATTCCAAATGTGCCAAAATACTAATAAATGTCAAGCAAAGCCATTTTACCTACTATAAACATTTAAAAGAATAATGAGTGGTTGCTAATATTTTTTTCAGCAGAGCAGTTAATATTGCAGAAGAGTAATCGGGTCTATACAATTTATTGGATGTAGTTCACTGCATGATGTAAAAAAAAAAACAAATTGGTTTGAATTTGCAATTGTAAATTTAGGTATGGCAATAACATCGTTTTATTTAAATTTTAAAACCAAATGTATTTTAGCTCATATCGTATAAAAATGTTTTATGCATTACTGCATCCGTATTACGCATTGGTTTCATTATTCGAGCAATAATCAGGCTTATATATCCACCAATAAAATCATTAAAATCTTTTGACGACTATTGTTAGGTGCCATTTTCTAGATTACTGTAGCAGAAACGTCTGAACCGAATAATTTAACAACCGTAAGCCAAAACATAATATTATAAATATTATTTTTATATACTTACAAAAAAATGTTAAAATAAAAATAATAAAAACAAGAAAATAGAAACAATTGTTGGTACAATTTTTATTTTCGAGCTGCCGGGTGACATAACGTTAAGGTTGAGTGTTTAATGTTCTTATAGTCATACTGCGTATACCCCTCGGGGAGGTCCACTATAATAATGTACTATAATAATGCATGTGTGTGTGTGTGTGTGTGTGTATGTGTGTGCGTCTAACGTATTTAAGTCATGTATGCATGTTTGGATAAACGTTTAGTCGAAAGGAGCTCAGTAAAAAAAATAAGCAAACTTCCATTTTGAAACTCTAGACGAAGAACAGCGTTGTGGACCCAACAGACAGCAGTAAGTAGGTAATTCGATGTTGTTTGAATCGCTCGCAGTCACAATATACAGTCATCGTGTACCACCACTCGAAGTCGTCTATCGATCTAATTGTATTTCCCGAACAGACACGATATTATATTATATTTTTGCAATATTATTCACCGGATCGGGGTGAGCGAATTGAAATCATTCGACGGTGCGAAGATAAACCGCGATTTAGATCCATCGCATATTGTGGTATCCAAAACACGTCCATTCCTATATAATTTGGCGGAGGCTATCGTAATACGTCGAGGTGGCAAAATCATAGCAACAGAACTATCAGGTCTATCCGACCCATTAATATAAATATATATTATTTTATAAACTCACTTTAATAATAATATTATTATCGGCCTTGTCCTTTGTGTAATAGCCCGACCACGGCTACTATAGACATTTTATAATAATATAATATTATGTAATGGATAATATAGTATTATAATGTGCGTTATATTTCAAAATTAATTATTTTATCGGAGCACCTCCATTATGCCGATACTCGACGGTAACGAGGACTACGGCGAGTGTTTCAAAAGCCATATCGGTGCTTCAAAATGCGCACACCACATTGTTCGGAAATATGTTACACGTATATTATTACACGAATTTACATTATTTCCACTTGATTATTTATACCGTAGAGCCTTTGCAGTTTTATCTATAACTTTACACTTTTGCGTTGTTATTATTATTATTGATATTAATCACTTCAATCCGTTGTATAATAATATCGTCACGTTCTCGACTTTAGCGTACAGTTGCACAATAATAATAATAATAATAATACGATATAGAGGTATAATACCTACCGCCGAATAAGTGATGTTTAATATGAATTCACATCAATCATAATAATATGTAACATTATTGTGCTGATATCTCATTCACGAAGACCGGCGTATACAGAAACGATACATAGGTATACACGGCCGGTCGACGAAAAGCACTTGACGAAATATCTTTGCCAATTATTATTGTTGTTATTATTATTATTATTACCAGGGTACACCTGCTAGTTAGTTATAATTAATGTTTTATACGAAATGCATTTTACCATAGGCCAATAGGTCACACAAACCATACGATATCAAATGGGTGCACGCGCATATATACCTACACACAACCAATAGTTAGCAATATCCTCGACGTTGAAATATCTTACAAACGGTTTGTATTTTCCATTGCTATTTGTACGGGTCCCGTGCGACTTCCAAGTCCTTGACCCTTTACAACACAAT